GTAAGAGGCAAAATGGGAGGAGAGATTTATATATATATATATATATATATATATATATATATATATATATTATATATGTATGTATGTATGTATGTATGTATGTATGTATGTATGTATGTATGTATGTATGTATGTATGTATATATGTAGGTCTTTGGTTATTCGGTTTTTCTCCCACGTAAAATTGGAAGTGTCTTGGCAACATTTTGACAAAGTCTCATTCGTCATCTTCAGGCTGGTGTTTTCGGCTTCGTGCTTCTAGGAGCAATGTGTGATCGCAGCTGTCCCTTCCTTTTAACTGCCAGTGGGGGTCTGAACTGATTGGGTGGGAGCTTGGCTATGTCCTGATTGGTTGGAGGCTTGGCTGTGCTCTGATTGGATGCGGGGTTGGCTATGCTCTGATTGGATGGGGGGGTGTTCTGTTTGGGTGGGGGCTTGGTTGTGCTCGGGTTAGTCTGAGTTGCAGGAGGATTTGAGCTGGTGAGCTGTGTTGCTGTTGTTTGGCTTCGCGTTCGTGGTCGTGCCACATCTTCATGGTGGGTGTCAGTTTGCTTCATGTATGGATTGGAGGGGTTTAAAGTGGCTAATGATGCAGCTGTGGTCTGGCTTCTGGTTTGTGGTTGTGCCTCATCATCGGTGTGGGTTTTGGTTTGCTTTTTGCGTGGATTTGTGGTGGTGACATCCTGTGTGGTTTTCATGAGTGTGGGTCTGGTGTCATTCTTTGTGTTAGGGACTCGTTTGTCAATAAGGACGGGTTTCCAAATGGCTGGTAGGTGGGAGGTATCATCTCGTTTATTCATGCTGTGTGGGTGTTTTTCTATCTCGATGGCTTCTCTGATTATTCTGTTGTTAAAGTATTCAGTTTTGGCGATAGTTCTGGTCTTTTTAAAGTCAATTTCATGTCCTGTGGCTTTAAGGTGTTGGACCAGGGAAGAAGTTGGTTCTTCCCTGGTCTAACCTCTTCCCTGGTCCAACACCTTAAAGCCACAGGACATGAAATTGACTTTAAAAAGACCAGAGCTATCGCCAAAACTGAACACTTTAACAACAGAATAAAAAACACAGCATTCAGCTACCTGCAGAAACTAGATTACACCATTGTTCCCGAGGTCTCCTTCTGGGAAGAGCTAACAATTTAGCCAAGGCTCTTTACTGCCGTACCTCAAATTGCCGTTCATTCTATGGGCAATAAAAAGGTTTATCACCATGGAAAGCTTCACATGCTCAATTTCTGTAGGACCAGTTGGCCCACCCTACCCATAACAGAGCTGACAACTAATAAAACAATAATAAAACTCCCATCATAATGTAATAAACGACTCAAACGTGGAGGTGCTGCCAGTAATGCGATTCCGCAGTCGGCATAAGTCATCCTTAAAATCTCAAAGCGCAGCGTAATCAAGCACGACAGGCACTTTGACAAATAAAATCACAGGCTGCCGGCAGGGATCCAGCAAATTGCAGAGGCCGCTGCTTAAGCGGCAGGATTGTGGGGAAAAGCCTCAGGTGTTTTTCCAGGCAGCATCTGACCGGGGCTTGCTGTATGTCCTCCACGACACCTGCTGTCCTGTCCAGCCCTTTGTGAACCAAGCCAACTTTGGAATCCCTGGGGAAAAGATCACGGACTGTAGTTGAGCAGGTGGATAGGATAAGCTACTCATTGGTGGGCCAGAATTGAAGTTTTGCCCCGTTTTTAATACTTGAAGCTTCCGGAAAACCTGCTTGTTTTACTTGAGCTTTTGGGCTACAGTTTACTGCATGGTCCTCAAACTATGGCCCGCAGGCTGCAATGATGAAATAAAAATAATAATTGAATATAAAATTGAAATGAGAATAAAGATAATTAGAAAATCGGGGCTGCTCAAATACTACTTTAGATTGAACTTGAAAGGGAAACAACAGGAGAGAGGGGAAGGAGTAGAGAGAGAGGAAGGGAGAGAAGAGGAGAAAGTAGAAAGGAAAAAGGAGAGGAAAAAAGGGAGGGGAAAGAGGAGTAGAGAAGGTTAGAAGGGGGGAAGAAGAGAGGAGTGGGGGAAGAGAAGGGGAAGTAGGAAAGAGAAGGAGAGAAAGAACAAAGGAAGTAGGAGAAGAGAGAGGAAGGAAGAGAAGGGGAGGAGAAGAAGAAAGGTTGGAGTAAAGGTAAAGGGTAAAAGAGCAGTCCCGAAAAAGTAAAAATGAAAAATGAAAGTTAAAAGAAAAGATGAATGAAAAATGATGAAAATGACTGTACATGTAAATGTGTTTATGAGAAATAAAAATAAAAAATTTATAAAATAAAAAATCTGGCCCACGCAGGACCATTAGGCTGCCCCGCCCACATTGCCCCGCCCACCCTTTGGCCAAGCGCAGGACTTAACATTTGTGAGCCCCGAGGGCTGGAACTGAAAGATAAAGCCAACAATTTTGGCCTGCAGAGACATTCTGGAGGTGGGAGAGGTGAAAAATGGGGCGCACAGATGCCCCAGGAAGCCAAAAAACAGGCAAAAATGGCCCATTTTGGCCAAAAATCAAGCTGTTTTGGCCTGGTTTTGGCCTGCAGAATGCTGCTGGAGGCGGGGGAGGTGAAAAATTAAACACCCCCGGAGCAAAACAAATTAAAGTTTAATGGACTGTTAAATTGGCCACGCCCACCCAGTCACATGACCACTTAGCCACGCCCACCCAGCCGGTCCAGCCCCCCCCCCCCCCCCACAGTCCCAGGGACTGTGAATTGACCCCCTGTTTAAAAACTTTGAAGACCCCGGGTTTACTGAGATGGGGCAAACATCAAGATTGTAGGGTTACTTTGTTATTGTTAAGTCGGGGTGGGAAACAGCCACAGTTGGCATTTCATGGTGGCCGAGGGCTGCAAAGAGGAACAACATCAAGTATACAAGCTAAGGCTTGGGTTAGGGGAAGATTCTTGGGGTTGTCTTAAAGGTGGTGTGTGCCTATTTGAGGGCTTACAGAATGGGTCTATGACAATTTGCCATGGCCAACTCACCATCGCCAATTTGCCACGGCCATCTCACCATGTCTCGCCATAGGACAACTCACTACTGGCCAAGAGCTACACTAATACCAAAGAAATGGTGGAACAAAATCATTAAAGAAAGGGTGCAAAAGGAGGGACAGAATGGAAATGTGAATGGCAAAAATTAAAATAATTTTTATTTATTTTAAATAATTTAATATAATTGTTAAATTATCCCACAGTGAGTTGTTCTGCAGCGAGTTGGCCATGGCAAGTTGGCCATGGTGAGTTGGCTACAGCAAGTTGGCTGTGTCAAGTTGTCTCATTCCCTTACAGAACAGCTGACATCTGTCTCCAAGTGGCAGGAAGGCTGGCCATCAGCTTTCAGTTGTCCTGATCAGGAGGGGTCTTAAGGACCATAGAAAGGATCTTTGGCTGCTGGTAGCTTTGAGCCTCTAGATGGTCTGTCCTTGCTAATTGTAGCCACAGATTCAGGATACAGTATAGCCCAGGGGTCTGCAACCTTAAACACTCAAAGAGCCATTTGGATCAGTTTCCCACAGAAAAGAAAACACCGGGAGCCACAAAACCCTTCCCGTGCCTGACTATTTCTCGAGCGGCCACAAAACTAGCATATGTAGTTGAATTAAACGTTCTGTTTTCTTCTGAAACTTCTTTTCTTGGATTTATCCATGGTTGGCCTACCGGGGTTGAAAAGCCGGCGGGTGTTGCACATTGGCGGTTGTGATGCATATTTTGAGTGACGGAGCCGCAGCAGAGGGATGAAAGAGCCACATGTGGCTCCAGAGCCGCGGGTTGCTGACCCCTGGTATAGCCTTACCCTTTACCCTTATATCATTCCAGAGGTGTTTCCACCCCCCACCCCCCCGATATGTCTTGTTTATCTTAATAATTGCACAGAAAGAACTAATCAAACAGAGCGAGACAGACAGACAGACTGATTCAATCGATGACAAAAATGCCAAATCCAGTCTAAACATCTGGCTGTCTGGGTGAGCAACCCTAATAATAATAGAAATATATGAAAACTACAAAAAGAAAAAAAAGCTACTTAAGTTAACCAGCGAACTCTCCAGCACGGCTGAATCTTAGCAATGTTGCTTAATGATTAATCAACGGGATGGGTGGTCCAGCACATTGAAGGGCCCCAAGTAATGCAGAGAGAAGCACAAAGGAGAAGTGCAGAAGTTGGAGCTAGCCCTCTCATGCACTCCTTGAGTCACATATGGGAACAGCCTCTGTCTACTCTGTACTGTAACAAGAAGTGCATTGCTCATCAGGCTAGAAACCGAGAGATTGTGAGTTCTAGTCCTGCCTTAGCTGTGAAAGCCATCTCTGGGTGACCTCTCTCTCAGCCAAACTCACCTCTCAGGGTTGTTGTTTTGGGGGGAAACAGGAGGATATATTCGCCCGCCTTGAGCTATTTGTAGAAATAATAAAGATGGTGTTAGGATATGGTTTGAGCCTAACAAGTTGTCCAGGCAATATAAGTGTACTGTAACTTTAATCTGTAAATGTATTATGTGACTTTAATGCTGAGTCATGCTGTAATTAGGTAATGACTGGTTGTGAGAGTATTTAAGCAAGGTATTGTAACGTATTCAGTTTGATGATGAAGCTGCTATGATATGCTGCCATTGTGTATGAAGCTGGTGTGATATGCTACCAGAGTATGATATGCTGCCATGGTGAGCAGTTGCTATCTGCTACCATCGTGGTTTGTGAACCAGAGTGAGTTTGTTATTCTAACCAATTACTGTTTGTTTGGTGAGAAGATATCTGTAACTACTGGACTGATTTACTGGCAAAGACTTGGAATTTGTTTAAAGACTATGAGACTGTTTTTCTACTATAAAGTAAGCTTTTGATAAACCAATACAAATAAATAAACTTCAGGGAGACAGTGAGAAGATATTTCTATTGCAAAAATAGCCCAGAGTTCTGAGATTTGGTGTGTTGGCTTTACCATGCCTTTAACTTATTGTTCTTCCTGTCTTTTCCCTCTCTGTCTCTACTTTTTCCCCTAGAAATCGATGAAGACCGGATCCCCAACCCGCTTCTGAAGGTATATATTCCTGCTGCTCTCAGACTTGAACAATGGAGTCAATTTATGCATTTAACAGAGTAATATTGTGATACATGAAAGCCATCCAGGATGATGATAGCGGAATACATTTCATGTATGAATGTACACGCTTCCCATAAAAGATATTTACTAAGAAGTAAAAGTGAAAGACGAAATTTCAGAATGCCAGGAAGACCAAAGTGTGAGTGCCACACACAAAGCCTTCATTGGACTGGAATGAGTTTTATTGTCATTGCTCTAATTAATAAGCTTTAATCATGGAAAAAGATGGAATTAATTTTACGGCTACTTAAAGTCTCCCAACGAACACCAGCTGGCAGCAAAGTAGTACAGGAAATCTAGCCCTTTGCTGCCCCCCTGTGGTTGTCTAGATTTTCCCAACCCTGATTTGTAGCCTCAATTGTATTTCTGAGATGATCTGCAGGTCTGATTCTGAAGGGACAAGAGGTCAAACGAGACAAAAACCGTATGCTCTTTACCCTATGTTTTTTCCCCATTGTTCCATGGGAATGGGGAGAATTATAGACCTCTGCAGATCATAAACTTGAAAAAAGGGAATACAAGCGAAGAGGCTTGGGCTGATTCTAGTTTGCCAACCCAAAGGCATGAGCCAAGAAAATAGTAATCACAGATTATGTGCCCATCACAAAGGAGAAGCTGGAACTCCAGATCTTCAAGGACTTTTTTCACTCATTCTTGTTTCATTCTGTAAGTAGCAAGAGCTAGATGCAACACATGGCTAGTAGATTATACATGGCACCTGAATGTTGGCATTTTGTATCTCTTAGGACTTTCTCTTTCTTCTCTTTGCAGCCAGGATTGTCAATGTCTCCAAGGCAGAGGAAGAAGGTCTCTCGCACCACTCCCACCATGAAAGGTAACTGGTCCAGAAGCCATGTTGTGGCTGTATTGAAGGATGGAATCCATCATGGCAACTACAGTGCCTAGGAAGCAGCAACAAGATAGTTTACTGCTTTCTGAGCCTCAGAAGGGCTCACTGTTATATCCAACAGTTCCCTTGCCCTTCTTGAAATGATAGGGAGAAAGAAGGTTGGAAATTTGGAAAGGTCGTCTCACAAAACTTTGGTGGCTCTTCTTCCCACTCAGCCTTCTTGTATGCCCAAATCACAATCTGACCTCACCCCAATCCCCTATCCAATTCTCCAAACATGAAGTGAGGGTGAGGTGAGTAGTAAGTCAAATGCTTGCCAGCTCTCTGTAGAACAGAGCTTGAAATAACATCTTGTTGCTAAAATGGAAGCTCCACAGGCTGATGGTGGGTTTTTAAAGGTATACACATATCTTCTTTTTTTTTGCTATGTATGCTAAACCAGACGTTGCATCCTGTGATACTCATTAAAAGAGCTTAGGGTTTATTTTTGGATGAGTGTCGCCACCTTGTATATAATGTATTCCCCATTAGCTTGCAGTATTCAGAACTTGCCAGTCAGTGCTAAGATTCCTTTAGCCTTCCCATGGTTTTGTAAAGTCTTTTCTTCTCTCCCCACCCCGCTCTGTTCCCTCTCCCCCTCCCCCCCAACCCCCTGTAACTTTGCACACATCCTGCCTAATCCCTGCCAGGATCATTTTTCATTAATTTTGCATTAAAGCATTTTATCTCTTTGCATTGGTCCTCTGCATTCTCTCCAATTACCAGCCTTCTCCTGCTTCGTCTTCGCCTCCGAAGCGTTGCAGTGCCTCATATAATGCAGGATGCAATTGTCAGGCTGGGGTGGGACTGCAGCAGCCACTGCAGAGGAGTGCAGAGATCAGCATTAAAAACCTGTCTGAAGTTTCTAAATTAGAACGTGCGAATACAAGAAAAGAGGAAATTTCACAATCCAGCACACAGATACAAGAATTATCTTTGGCATTCAAGGTTCAAGGTCAACCAGTGAATGCCTATTAGGAATACTGTATTATTAGTCCGAAGCCTAGGTAGTAGGAATGTGTAGAGGAGCAAAGATTTTCTTACAATAAAATAATCCTATCCTAATGATGCATTCCACCTACAATGGTTTCCAAATCATCGGTGAATAGCTATCTTCGGGAACCTGCTTACTGTAAGTGTGGTCCAATTTCCCATACACTCTAGCCATCAAAGGCATTTGTGAAGCTGAAGTTCACAAATTCCAATATCTAAGGGACTGCCACAAAAGAAGAGGGGGTCAACCAGTGGTGAAATCCAATTTTTTTTACTACCGGTTCTGTTGGCATGGCTTGGTGGGCGTGGTGCTGTTTGGTGGGCGTGGTTTGGTGGGCGTGGCAGGAGAAGGATACTGCAAAATCTCCATTCCCACCTTACTCCAGGGGAAAGATACTGCAAAATCCCCATTCCCTTCCAACTCCTGGGAGAAGGATATTGCAAAATCTCCATTCCCACCCCACTCTGGGGCCAGCCAGAGTTGGTATTTGCTGGTTCTCCGAACTACTCAAAATTTCTGCTACCAGTTCTCCAGAACCTCTCAGAACCTGCTGGATTTCTCTCTTGGGGTCAATCAATTCTCCAAAACATCTGAAAGTAGAACAAGAAACAATAGATGGAAACTAATCAAGGAGAGATGCAACCTAGAACTAAGGAGAAATTTCCTGACAGTGAGAACAATTAATCAGTTGTGGAATTGTTTGCCTCCAGAAGTTGTGGGTGCTCCCACACTGGACGTTTTTAAGAAGAGATTGGACAACCATTTGTCTGAAACAGTGTAGGGTTTCCTGTTCGAGCAGGGGATTGGACTAGAAAACCCCCAAAGTCCCTTCCAACTCTGTTATTCTGTTAAAACTGCAGGGCACTTAAACTGGGTGAGATTAACCAATAAATATGTTCCTTAATGCACGAGAACAATTTGCTGTTTTCAGCAGAGACCTTAAAAAAGCGAACATTTCCATTAAGAATCAAGTCATCCTGAGATCACAGTTTACATGAATTCTGCCCATCCCTACTTTTCAGAGCTCCAGCTGATGGTCGAACACCATCTTTGCAAGCAGCAGAGAGATGAAGAGGAAGAAGACAGTGCTGAAGTACAGGAGTCACACAGTCCAAGCTGCTGCCCTCATGCCAACATAGAACCGACCCACAGTCCCGAAAGTTGCCCTTTGGCCCAAGCCCACGCCCAGCTGGAATCCCAGGAAAAACCACACTCTGGCCTTGAAGAACGTGAGTATGATCCTATCAATGTAGGGCAAGGTAGGCTTCCTTAGAGCATCTCGCTTGTACCCACTTCCAGTGAAGAAGGAAGCCTGTCTAGATTGCTTCAAGTCTTGACCCCAACGTGACCAGATATGTGCTTTCTTCAAAGGAGATAGTCCAAGCCTAGTAAGGAACATGAAGCTCTTTAGATCAGGGGTGGTTTCTAATTTTTTTTACTACCGGTTCTGTGGGCGTGGCTTATTTTGTGGGTGTGGCTTGGAGGTCATGTGACTAGGTGGGCGTGGCTAGTGGGTCAGAGTCATTTCTGGAAGGTCCTCACACTTACGACCAGTCCTCGCACTTACGACCCGACTCATTTGTTTGCTTTTAACACTGATCAGCTGTAGGACGGCCCTTTGAAGCCCCGCAGCAAGAATTTAAACAGTTTTTTTTCCCTCTAGTCATCAGCTGGGACTCAGGAGGCAGCAATAGATTGGGGGTGGGACCAAATAAAAGGTAAGAATAACGTGAGGGGGTGGGGGGTGGGAGGGCAGGGGGGGAGAACCGGTTCGGTGACGTCATATCGTCACCGCTACTGGCTCAGCTGAACCGGACCGAACCGGGAGGAACCCACCACTGCTCCAGATGTTACTGAATCACAGTTCCCAACAGGCCTGGCCTGTGTGACAACATTTGAGAGCCACAGATTTTCCACCTCTACCAAAATCAAGGAAAAAAAACCCCTCCTTTAAATTCACTCTTCTTTCATGAGGGAAATTCATTTTCCATGGGACAGGAAAATACTTAATAAAACAATCCCTGAGGCATACTGCTTTTGGAAAATATGTACTTTTTGTTTGTTTGTTTGTTTTGTTTACCCAGTGCATGCTCTTTTCATTCATGCCCTAATATTATAATTAGCAAAGGTTCTTCCAAGCCACCAGCTCTGGGAGGAAGGATCAGAGTCCCAAGTTTAGGCTTTGATTTATTTATTTTTTTCCTTCAGAAATGAAGGACCACGAACGAGAGACATTAAAAAAAAAGAAAAAGGATTTAGCAACACCAATGGGACAATAAGAACACAGAGCAGGATTTGATCCTGGTTAATTTCATGCCCTGATCCATGCCGCCCAGACTGACACGCACATTAGACCAAGCCCATTCTTCAGAATTTGCACTTCTTTGAATATTGCCCTGCCCATTTTGGCTCAAAGGAGAAAATGCTCTTCAAAGCTGTACCTATTTCAAAGGAAATGTATGCTGCGTCGGATAGATTTTTTAAATGCATATGTACGTGTCTGTACTTGTCTATGGTGCATATCTGGGTGTCTAAATAGAGGTTTTATGCAGATTTTTAAAAATTGCCAATCCAAGGCAGGACCATTAATCCATTAATATCCATTAATAGATCCATTAATATATGCATGGCAAGTTAGCGCAGGCCCAGAAAATAATTGATCTGTCCAAAACTCATTCTAGGAAGTCACAGTGTTCAGATTTCTTCAGTTTCCAGTGGTGACCTAAATTATTATGTGTACCTTATCCCCCCACCCCACCCCAAAGCCAAGAAATAGGTCTTTCCTGCCTGTGGAATCCAGCTCAGTCATTCAAGGAACGTGACCTTGGCTCTGCATATTGACACAATGCTACCATAAGATGGGTTCCAATTTGGAACTTCCAGCTTCTTTCTCTCATGGCCAGGCAGACTTGTTGTTGCTGCGCATTGTAGCTCCGCAGCCTGGGAGAGCCGCAATTTCTCCACCACCGATATAAGCCAGTGTTTCATCCAGATGCATGTTAAAACTATGTTGCTGCAAATCCCTTTGATCTTCGCAGGTGGCAGAAGCACATATACTCTTATCTATGCCAACGCACCCTGGATTCTGTGATGCCTCATACAACCTACTTTTGCTTAATAAATCAGGGAAACAGTGGCCTCTAGTGGCCAAAGGCTAATGTGACAGCCAAGTTGGTTTTGGCCATACTCAACTACAGGTAGTCCTCAGTTTGTTGTTGACTGACCGTTCAGTTACAACAGCACTGAAAAGAGTGGCGTATGACCGTTTTTCACAGTGACGACCGTTGCAGCATCCCCATGATCATGTGATCAAAATTGAGACACTTGGGCAAACTGGTTCATACTTTATGACCGTTTGCTGTGTCCCAAGGTCACATGATCCCCTTTTTTGTGACCTTCTGACAAGCAAGGTCAATGGAGAAGCCAGATTCTCTCAACAACCGGATTACTAATTTAACAACGACAGTGATTCACTTAATAACCGTGGCAAGAAAGGTCATAAAATGGAGCCAAACGCATTTAACAAATGTCAACAACAGAAATGTTGGGCTCGATTGTGGCCATAAGTTGAGGACTACCTGTATTTGAGAGAGTAAAATTAAGCCATTCTAAGCTCATCCCTTGCCCCAGGGGTCTTGCGTTGTTTGTACCCAGGAGGGGAGGATTTTGATCCGTTGCTATCCCCATAAATAATGCATTAAGAATGTTCTTTTTTAATCAGCCTGAAATCCCTTACCAAATTCTCACAGCACGAGCTGGCTCTACAATGTGGTGTCCCTGGAAAATGAGCATCAAACGATCACAGCAGAAATAGCAATAGCATACCAATAGCCTTTAAGTTTATATACCTCCCCAGAGGGCTTTACAGCATTCTTTGGGTGGTTTACAATGTAAGCATTATTTGCATATTGTCCCCAACAATCTGGGTCCTCTTTGTACCGACCTTGGAAGAATAGAAGGCTGAGTCAACCTTGAGCCCCATCAGGATCAAACTCAGGGGTGGGCTGCTGGAGGTTTGCAGGGGTTCGAGAGAACCTTTAGCTAAGATTCTGTGCAGTTCGGAGAACCCCTAAATCTCACTCCTGGCTGGCCTGTTTTAGATGCAGGTAAGTGCAGGACACGTGTGGAGGCTCGGGGAAGGCAAAAAACAGGCCTACTGGAAGTTCAGGAAGGCCGGAAACGGCCTGGGGAAGGCGTTTTCGCCCTCCCAGAGGCTCAAAGAAAGCCTCCAGAGTCTGGGGAGGGCAAAAACGCCCCGCCCCACACCATGGTGCAGCAGGCCAACTAGGCCACGCCCACCATGGCCACGCCCACTGCAATCGGGCAGAGAACCCCTTGCTAAAATTTTTGAAGCCCATCCCTGATCAAACTTCAGGCTGTGGGCAGATTTGCCAGCAATACTATACTTTAACCACTGAGCCACCAGGGCAGCGCGTCCTTTGACCTTTCAGAGGGGAAGGAAGTTGCAGTTCAGGGAGAAATATCAGTCACTGAAAGAGTACAGTCTGGGCTTATCCAGTCACAGAAGTAGGCTAAGTAACTTTCTGGTGCATCAGTAACCTAGGGGTTCCTGTGCCCCAGTTGTTCACCCATCTTTTAAGAGGCCCACATCTTTGGAGAAAGCACACTATTGGCAGAAAGTCAGGAGTTCGTGGACGCTCAATATTTTCCTGCATTTCACAGGATGTAATCAGGCGCCATTGTATTTCTTTCAGCCACCCACAAATTCAAATATAGAAACACCTATTCGAGCAAAAGCATTGATTGGTGTGTGATCATTTGACTCTTTGAAATGATTAAATGGACTTTCAGCATTGAAGAGTGGGTGTGTGCATGAGTAAAGGAGAGCGTATGCAAGCAACGTTCTTATTTGGTTTGTTTTATTCCTTCATTCATGGATTAGGACTTGCATTTATGTTCTCCTTTTTTTCCAGGAAATATACATCACACTTCCTTCCCATTCAGTTTTATTGTCACAAATGACCCTGTGAGATGGGTTAGCTAAAGAGGATGGAGAGACTGTTCCCAAGTCATTAAATGGGATTCGTGGCTAAGTAGGGATTTGAGCCTGGATCCATCCAGTACCTTGATCACACCAGATTGTGGTAATGTCATTCCAGTGGATGAGTAGGTGGGTGGGTAGGTTGCTGGATATACTGAGGCAAATGGGTTTTTCCTCTAGTCTATGCATCTTGCTTCTGCACCTCCAGGTAAATCAAAAGCTTTTTTTAATTATTATTTTTTTGTCCCTTTGAATTAGTCTTGACTGCTGGTCAGTTAGTGCCTCTGCAGTTTTCTTCACAAGTTTTTTCAAACATTGTTTGCCTTTGCCTGCTTTCCAGGGCTGAGAGGGAGTGACTGGCCCAAGGTCACCCAGCTGGCTTCATGTCTAAGGCAGGACTAGAACTCAGTCTTTCGGTTTCTAGCCTGGTACCTTAACCACTGCACTAAACCGGCTGTCATCAAAGGCTTAGACAGACCATTTTAATTTAGTACTCAACAGATTCTGGATGGCTGAATTGCAAATGTAATGAAGAGAATTTAAGGAGTGGTAGGAAAGATGGAACCTCCCCCCCCTCCCCACTGCCATGTGGATGAATGGGCAGCATAGTGGATCTAATTGATATGAATGATGGTTGCCAAAAAATGTGGCAGAAAGATTTAATCTAGGTTTTAAAAGACTGTACAAGTTCAATTACAAAGTCAGAAATGCAAATAAGAAACAAGTAATCATGTTGATTCCTATAATTTAATGTGACAGTATTTTGCAGTTAGGCTACGAGACATAAGGCAGACAGTGTAAAATGTTGATTTGCTTGAGGCAGGGGGAAAAAATCGGGCTGGCTCTGCAGAACACAATCTGGGTCAGAAACTATTAGCTGCATACAGTAAAAGAAAACACAAAAATAAATTAGCACATGGCTATCTTGCAATAGCTTGAAAAAGGTTCAGAGATGTTACCATTGCCTTAAAAATAAAAATACTAGCATTTGTGCCTTATGGAATTGCTTCCAGAGTAACTCAAGGAAATAAGTTCAGAGGTTTACTTCAGATACCAATAGTTGCATCTCGTCCACTACCACTTTTCTTGGTTTTTCTTTCATTTTAAAGTGGTTTTTTAAAAAACCTCCTAGTTTCACTCTCCCGTAGCTTCTAGATCTAGTTCCATTAAAGGTTCCCTCACACATACGTGCTAGTTGTTCCCGACTCTAGGGGGCGGTGCTCATCTCCGTTTCAAAGCTGAAGAGCCAGCGCTGTCCAAAGACGTCTCCGTGGTCATGTGGCCGGCATGACTAAACGCCAAAGGCACACAGAATGCTGTTATCTTCCCACCAAAGGTGGTCCCTATTTTTCTACTTGCATTTTTTACATGCTTTCGAACTGCTAGGTTGGCAGAAGCTGCCATATTTCCAGATCAGTGCACTGTTCTTTATCCAGAACTCCAAACTTTATACATGGTTCTTTCATCTACAGCCCCTATCCCACATTTTCACAAACAGAAAGCAAGCTGCGTGGGCCTTCCCAAAACAATTTTTTCTTCAAACTTGTTCCATTAATATGGAGCCTCCATAAGTGGACTTTCCCCTTTTGAGACTAGAATGAATGTGAGGATTCTCCTGCAGGACTAACCTCCACGCAGGTAGCTGGCGTATCTGCGTCTCTCTTCCAACAACAATTTGCATAGATGCAAGATGGATTGGGTGGAAGAGTCAGCTGATGGGCATGGCTGATGAGAGACCCTGAGGAGCTCTCCCCTGTTCTTCAGGTCCCACTGTTGATCCCAGAGAACTGTCAGGGAAAACAGACATCTGCAGCAGTACCTAAGGAGAACAACTTCAAGGAAAATGGCTAATTAAACAACAGCTCTTAGTAGGAGGAGCCCGGAGAGAAAGAAGGCAAGCAATTTTATAGCTTGCATGCTCTTAGCAAAATTTTCTGTTGCATTGGCATCGTTGCCATTTGGCACAGCAGTAAAGCATAAAACCCTCTCCCTGATATTTGCAGCCAGCAATATTGCAAAGTCAGCCCCAAAACAGGTATACTTAAAGCAGGGGTCTCCAACCTTGGCAACTTTAAGCCTGGCGGACTTCAACTCCCAGAATTCCCCAGCCAGATTTGCTGGCTGGGGAATTCTGGGAGTTGAAGTCCTCCAGGCTTAAAGTCGCCAAGGTTGGAGACCCCTGACTTAAAGGACGTTTAGCCTCGAATCCTTCCCCAACTCTTCCCTCTGTTTCCTTTCCCCATCCAAGGATTTGATAAACTAGGAGGGAACATATTACAGCTGATTATATTACAGCTGATAGGTGGAATGAGTGTATAATGTTTAGGTCACCACTAGTATTATACTAGTATAATACGGTAGTATTATACATACCTAAAAAGAAAGAAAGCTGAGATCAAAAACTCTTATTCTAAAAAGTGATTTCTTCCATGCTCAATTTAATTTTTTTTTTTTAAAAAAAAAACCATTTTACTCTTTGCTCTTTCTTTTCAAAGTTGGAAAACTCTACCCACTGAAGCATTTCTCCCTAAAAGAAACGGTTAACACTGAATTATTTGGGACTCTGACCTCCCTGCCGAGTATGAGAAGTCAATTATTCTGCTAATGTATGCAGACCTAGTTATCTCTTATAAGCCACTTTTATTCTGAAAGGCAGCATCTAGATACTTTAAATAAATAATGTTACATGGTAGATTTAATTAGCGGCAGGGGGGTGCTTTTCCGATTTGTTTTGCTAGCATTTACACTCTTGGATGTGCTCCCAGATTTTTCTCCTTGCTTTTTTGGGGGGGGGGGGGGGGGGGGGGGGGGGGGGGCAGTGGGCAGCATCACAAAAGTGCTCTCACCTGAAATTTGCCTTCACCCATTGACATAAACAAAGAGGGTGCATCCCATCCAAAGTCTGAGCATCCACGAGCTGGTATGGATTGATTTGTTTTGGTTTGTTTCCAGTTACTTGTAGGGCTGCCTCCTCAATCAATTGTAGGGATGGGGATTGATGGTCACGGCCCGCTAGTGACGGGTTTTAATTGCTATCTACCCAATTCCCTTCCAACAGCTACAAGCCATCTGGAACCCATCTATACATACCTACCCCAGGATGTTATGCACATCAGTGCCTGCTTATTAACAGTGCATCTCATTTGGCATTTCTTTTCTCAGTGACCTAGTTTTGAAGAGATTTCCCAGGAACTTGACAGCTTTCTTGTCTTATCTTGTTTTTTGTTTTTTGTTTCTTTGAATTCTATATCCTTTCGTGTTATCTACTAAGATTGCCATTTCCCAGTTTCTCCCCTCCTCCTGATCCTTTACGAATGAAAGAAAAATCCCACCCACTTACCCTGCTCTTTTCTGCTGATGTTTTTTGTTTTGAACAGAGGGAAGAGTCACAGAAGCGTGTGGTGTAGGGAGCTCTGACAAAACGAGGTCTTACTTGTGCTCAGAAAAGCAAGGGATTCATATATCATCGGAGAACTCCGTGGAGAAGGACAGGCTGCCCAAGGAGTAGGTATATAACCACGTATCAGGGTGGAGGTGAGTGAGGATGGGGCTGTATTCAGACATTTCACCAAACTGTACTTGGTTTTGTTGAACAAATGATACTTCTACGTGAACAAAATAATTGCAGGTTGGCCGGCCAAATTTTGAGGGACAGGACATCCCAAACTCATGACTTGATCATGGAGATAATCCATGGATTTTTGACTAGGAGTGACTTGATGGCACACGGTCATATAATCAATCAATAATCAATCAGTTAGTCTTGACTTGTATCCCTGATCAGAGGCTTGACCAAGAAACAAAAGCAAGTAGGAATAAGCCAGGAAATGGCATTCTCATGAACACATGACATAAAGCCAAAGTAGGGTACAAAGATCATTTGTACCCTACGACTATCATTAAGTATTGTACCTTATGATTCTTGATGGACGTATCTTTTCTTTTATGTACAGAGAGCATATGCACCAAGACAAATTCCTTGTGTGTCCAATCACACTTGGCCAATAAAAAATTCTATTCTATTCTACCACATAGTAAGCCAACAAAAGTTCAGTTTGGAACTGTGGTTTTTTGTCTTAAATACTAACCATGGTTTAGTCACTGACCAACCTCCCTCATTCATCCAGCACACTAAATTAAAAACAAAACACACAAGGGCTTATGTAGGCAACTAGCAGTGTGACAACACCGTGGTCAGTCATGCACAAAAGAGTCAGATCATCGGGCAAAACCCTACCAAGATAAGTTCTTGATAGGTTTTCAGATGCCAAGTTGCAAAAACAGCCACTGAATCATTCCAAAATTGTGACTCGGTGGGCAGTGAATTGAATTAAAACAATCCTGGCTCTTGATAACAATTATTATTATCTCCTACTTGTTACTTCTCAGCTAGCACCGCAGATAACCAGGGCTTGGATGCAGTGCAGGAAACCAATACCCGCAAGCTTGGAAAGAATAAAATCCTGAGCGTGCTATGTGTCAGCCAACAAAAGATGCATCACTTTCCTTTGGGGAACCACCCATGATTATGACAGTCAATTCTCCTTTCAGCTTGGATTAGCTCAGTTGCAATCAAACCAGAGAACGATTACACTGTGCTGCCACGCTCATAAATTAGACTAATCCAAACCGAAAGTCGCTTATTTCTCAGATGGAGGTAGGGTTTAGAAAAGCAGGCTTCATAGGAGGCCTGGGCCTTCATGGGGCCCTTCCAACCTGATACGCAGCCTAAAGCCACATACATCTCCTAAAACTCTCCCAAAATCCTTGGGAGCAGCAATAAAGCTGGCTCGAAGATGTCCCTGAAACTCAGGGCAACCCTCTGATCTCTTTGGGGAGAGGAAGAAGAGACATAGTCTTACTGGGTACACCTAGTCAGTGGATTCTTCTCCACTGGAGGAAGGGGATCGATTCCTCCCTCTAGGCAGCAATTACAGTACAGTTGGCTATTGAGAGGGGGTCAGTGGAGAGGGTGGGCCACAGGGAGAAGAGTTTCCTCCCCGTATCTGTTTGTTGGAGCAGTAGGAGCTTCTTCTATCTGTCTGTCCATCCATCCATCCTTTCTGTTTCACATTCAACTAATGGGGGAACAGATTCTATGCAAGCTAAAGGAGACTTTGTTCATACCTTTTGGTCAGCCCAAGGAACAAGGAGAAGTCTTATCTAAAAACATGGCTTGGTTTGGAATGTGGCATCCTGAAAATGCCCCCTCCCTTTTCAGTAAATCCCCATGGTTTTGTTGCAAAGAGTGTGTCTGTAACTTTTTTTTCTCTCTCTCTCTCGTTTTTTATATTTTCCTTTAGGTGATTCTCTGCTGGAGGCACAGAGTTACAGCTGGACACAGGGCTCATGCATACCTGAGGAATATCACACAGCTCCTTCCTTCCTTCCTTCCTTCCTTCCTTCCTTCCTTCCTTCCTTCCTTCCTTCCTTCCTTCCTTCTTTTTAAATGATTATGGGTTTTTTTAAAAAAGATTTCAATGACTAGGTTATATATTTGTAACGGTCCCATCTTATTTTTTTAAAGTGAGAAAACCCAAAACACTTTTTCACTGTTTTGAGTTTTGTGGCCAGCCAATAGTAGGGATTTAGCCTAGAGCACTAGGCAGATTTTGATCAGAGACGGAAAAGCCTCTGCATTTGGCCCTGAGTGGCGGCCTAGATCTCCCAAGCAACAGATGTGAGGCTGATAAAGGCCTTCAGGAAATTCTCTACCTGGTTGGATTATGACCCCTATCACTCCGAGCCACACTGGACGGAGGTAATGAAATTGGTAATCTAGCATATGTGAAGGCAGACAAGATGGGAAGGTGATCTTAAGCCTAGAGCTGGACTACTATAGACTCCAAGGGTGAGGCCCTGACTGAATTTCCTGCTGTGCATTCCCCTGCCTCCAGCCTACTCTGTGTATGTGTGAAAAAAGAACCAGGAATTCTACCTCCTGATGGGCCACTCTTTGTGTTGTTCCGTAGACAATCATTAGAAGTTTCTCCTTGCCAACATGATATAGTATGGCTCAAACGCCAATTCATCTTTTCTCTCCTCTGCTGTTGAATAGAACTAGGAGAATTTTCTGTAATATTTTACTCCTTTGGCCAGTTTTTCTGTCCAAAGCTATCGCCCTCCAAAGTTGCTTGAGATTTCACCTCCCCAGGTTTGCAGTCTATGTGGCCAAAAATCTGATCCGGGGAAGATTTCTCTAGGTCTTGTTTTCTACACTGTATGATATTTTGATAGCTGTCTATTGTTTTCTGAACCTTGTATTGCTTTCTACTCTAGCATAGCTTTTATGTATGCTGGGGCCTCTTATAGCTCCCTCCGAGCATGCATCACAAGGCAGCAAAAATGCATACAGCAGATTTAGGGTGATAAACAAGATGCACCAGGCCTGTGTGCAGCTGTGCTTCACACCACAAAAGCAACACTTTTCATCTAGTCGGGTGAAAAGACAATGTGATTCTTGTCATGGCACTGTGCCTCACCTCAAAGCCTCCTCTGGCCACTCCAATAGCTGGAAGATGAGTAGAAGAGTCTGGGAGCTTCTGCATGTGTGTGTCATGTGGGCAGAATGCACTTGTGACTCCTGGAACTGTTAGCAAAGCGATGGGAAGCAAAAGATTTGGAGATGGGACACGTTGCTTCGGGATGCATGGTGTAAACCTTCATCGAAAAGAGCCAAGCCCACCTTGGAAGCTCTGCACGTCTCCAGTATACTCACAGGTGGGCCATACAGTTACCAACCTGGACCTGAATAAGAGAATTTTCTCTTCTGGTGTTGTGGGGCAGGGCCCCTTTAGCTGTCTTCAAGCCCATCTCTTGGTTCCAGTTCTATTCTGCTGAATCCTGCCTCATTAGGTAAGGAAAACTGGGCAGCTCTGGTCCTTTCTGACACCTCTCAATTCCCCTTCTAGTGGAGGTACACCAACAGTACCATCCAGCAGTGCCTTCCGAGAACAAACCAGCATTTCTGCTGTCACACCTACAGGCCTCTGTTGCACGTGTGTGCAAAACCTCCAAGAGTTGCCATGCAAGTATTACAAGATCATGAGTACTGGGATACAATTTTTTTTTTTTTAACGATAAGGTGTGTTTGCAATAGCTGCCCATTTTCCCCTTCTCGTTTTAGATGTATTACCAGTGTTTTAAACTTTTAAAAGTGAAAAACTAGCAGCCCTTCTAATGATGTTGAACTACAGTTTGTAGCCTTCTCTTCCCCTTCGATGGTGCTGGTGGCCAGGCTGCTAGAGATAGTAGTTTGACAGCATCCGAAGGGCTACATAATCCATTCAAATACAAAATACATTCAAGGCTGCCATGTCTTAATAAGGGAACTAGTTGAACATAGCCTAGATGAGTAGAAGACTACACATAGTTGGGCAGTGATGTTTGGGGAGGGGGGCTTTCCTTATATTATTGTTTGCAACATAATCCCACCCAACATGATGAGGTGGCTGCAATCGAGAACCATGTGAAAGTTCAGAGCAAACTGCCTGCTTGGGAGTGTCCTAAGTCCTACATTGCTGTATCCCTGAGTTGGTTTTACGTACCTGGACTACAATGCTGGACTCTGCATCCTCACTCCCCCACCTGTGAATCCTGCTTCTTTATTAAATGGGTCATCTTTGCTTGCTTTGTGAGTCCTTAATCACTGGATTTGCCAATCTGTTTTGCGTAGTGTTTAAACCCACATGGATGCAGCATCATTCGGCATCAACATTCAGAATTCCGTTGATAACCCTTTTCTCTTGACTTACAAGCCTGGTCCTTGGTCCCAAATATTGATACTACTGATTCTGCCCTGATTACAAAGGAAGTTAAATCCTTCTGTGATCAGAAAATTCCCTACAAAGAGCACAAACTTCTAAGAGGAAGCTCACACTAAACTCAGGCTGCAAGAATTGAAAAACATATAACAAAAAACATTTGAAAGCTCCAACTGAGGGATCTTCCTGTTGATCACAGCCTAGAGTTGCCTATACCCAACTTTATACCCAACTATTGGAAATACAAATTTCCCTATTGCCATCTTGAAGCTTAACAAGTGCATATAGCAGCGATCTCCTGGATGATTTCAAAAGTTGTTTAGCATTCCCTACTGATTTGCTTATACAACTCCTAAATTCATCTGAGGCTGTAATCCTACGTATACTTTCCTATGAGAGAAATCTACATATTCAGTCCATTTTCAGTTGCTTCCTGAAAAACATATATAGGATTCGGTTATGAAAGCCATAAGGGCAGGGCCGGGTGTGGTATTCTGGATCCTGGAACAGGAAGAGGATGAGAAGACTTCACTTTCTAATATAATTAATACAGCCCTCTCCTCTACCCTCAAACAAAACAGGACGATCTCACCCAATGGCTTCAAGAAAGATTTAAACCTGGGTAATCACAATTGCAGTTCACATATTTCTGAGCTTTCAATTTACAGCTTTGGTTATGATGAATGGGACAGATGGAACTTGTAGTGTCTGGAGGGTCAAGGATACCCAAAGTCTTATCCAAAAGAGCCTTGTAATTTTGTAGAGGTGGTATTAAAAATGCGTAATCCATTCTCAGAAAAATTACGGGTAATCCTTGTTTAGCAACAATTGAGACCAGCAGCACTATGTAAGAACAATTGGAATGGCTTACCTCTGGAAGTTGTGAGTGCTTCATCACTGGAGGTTTTCAAGAAGAGACTGGACAGCCATTTGATATAGGGCAATGATGGCGAACCTATAGCATGTGTAACAGAAGTGGCCCCAGAGCCATCTCTCCAGGCATGCCAGCCGTTGCCCATTGCTCTTCCGGGTTCCGGTGCACACACAGGAGCACCGGAAACCGGAAGACCAGGTGACCGGCACAAACGCCAGAAACCGGAAGCTCAGCTTCCCGGTGTGCGCATGTACACTGGGGAACTGCTCTTCCGGTTTCCGGCGCTCCTGCGTGTGCGCGCCAGGGAGCTGCTCTTCTGGCTTCCGGCACTCCCGTTTTGGCACTCGGTGCCAAAAAGGTTCACTAACACTGATATAGGGTCTCCTGTTTGAGCAGGACTAGAAGACTTCCAAGGTCTTTTCCAACTCAGTTATGCTATGTTCTATCATTAAGCAAAGCTGTCACTAAGTGGAAAATCAAGACACCAGAACTACTTTCTTTATCCCCATTCCCCACCCTTTATAATGCTCAATCTGGTACAGTGCCTGGATAGCCGATGCAATTATTGCCTATAACTGATCAACTAGTTTCACACCTTTATCTTTTGTTTGCCTCCTAACAATTTCACTGCAACTTCCCTTGAGAATTAGAGAAAAATTTCCAAGAAGGGATTTAATGTTTCTATTTACATTCATTCCAGAGCAAAGGATTACAAGAGAGTAAGCAGGCACAGAATGGTGAACACACAATGAAACCAATGCTATGGTGCTAACAGCTCCCAGCATATTTCACAAACAGTTCAGTTTATTTCGGATTGGATGGATGCCTGCCTGCTCTCTTGTAATCCCTTCCTCTCTAATCTCTCTATTCTGCAAGAGAGGGGGAGAAAAAACACAAGTGATTTCTGTAGGTAATCTTGACATGTTTATTTTCCCCCCTCTCTCTTAGGAAGAAAGATTGGAGAAGAAAGGATTACATGAGAGTAAGCAGGCACACAATAGGGAACACACTGGGCTACTTGCACAGCATGCCTTGATGGATTGTGTCTATGAAGGGAGAAGTGGCATGATGGACTACAGTGAAGCATCAATTTCCCAGAAAAGAGGGGGCACATTCCAAGGAAGGGAGACGAGACAACATAGCCTGGATCTGGATTGGAAACAGAAGAAATTTAGCAGAGCCACTCCCTAGAATTTCTAAGGGTACATTCATTAGAACTATAGTAATATAGGTTTAGTCTGGCAAGCTTCTGGTTGTGTGATGTAAGCACATAAAGAAGTGAAGTTTGATTGGATTGTTCTATGCCATTCTTGGGTTGGGCCTGATATGCTCACTAGTGTCGCCATATTCCTTTCAATATTTATTCCCCATTATATGCCTGACTACATTTTTGAAATCCTTTACTGTCCAGTCAGTTCACTTTGCAAGGAAGAAAAAAAAGAAAATTCCATCTTTTATCAATGTCAAATTTTGTGGAAGGTTTTGCTCAGAGTACTACTTTATTGCTTATTCCCTGCTCATTTTGCATTGCCTTGGCAGTTCTGTTTTCAAAGCCTGTTGCATAGCATACAATACAGTGGTGAAATCCAAATTTTTTTACTACCAGTTCTGTGGGTGTGGCTTGGTGAGTGTGGTGTGGTGTGGTGTGGCTTGGTGGGAGTGGCAGGGGAAAGATACTGCAAAATCCCCATTCCCTCCCCACTCCTGGGGAAGGATATTACAAAATCTCCATTCCCACCCCACTCTGGGGCCAGCCAGAGGTGGTATTTGCCGGTTCTCCGAACTACTCAAAATTTCCACTACCAGTTCTCCAGAACCTGCTGGATTTCATCCTTTATAACAATATCACAGTAATATTGGCAACTTTTGTTATTAAGAATGAAATCCAGCAGGTTCTGGAGAACCGGTAGTGGAAATTGCAGTGGAAATCTTATTTCAGCAATTGACTTAAAGATCCTGACTTTGCTGCTTCACATCAAATTAGCATATTAATTAGTATTATAAGCCCTCTTTTCACCTGCATATCTACTCCAGAAAACTGGTTAATGTCTCTCTTAATCTCTACAATTATATGAAATTATTAAATGTCTGTGGCAACTCAGATACTTTCCCACTAAATTCCTAAATGTCTGAATCGAATTCTATGCTCAAGCACATTTTTAAAAACACTTAAGAGAAACTATGTATATAAATGAGAATCCTTGTGCAGATTTTTAAGCAAAAATTAGAAAATGAGTGTAGCTGTTCAAACATGCATGAGTATTTGCATAAGAGCTAAAATATTGTATTGACAAGAGCTTTTTTTAAAAAAAAAAAAGTTGACCCCACCTCCCTTTTCTATGAAATTTCTGATAAACAAACCAGGAGTCAAAATGCTTGTTTGATTTTCCCCCTCCTTTTATTTTATTTTGCTGTTTATTTGTTTCTTCTTTTTAAAGTTGCTTTTACATGCGCATAATTTGGAATTCTGCATTGGAATATGGAGCTGTGTTATAATAAGAATCTGACTTCAAGAAACAGAACGACAACCAAAAAAAAGTTACTGCATGGTAGAAAAAATTATGTCCGAGGTACAAATACATACAGAGTTCCAAGGACCAAAATGTTTTTGACAAAGAGATATTTACAAAGTTGTGGGATTGAGGGAAGAGGACAAGGAAGATGGAAATGCAAACAGGAAGTTTTGCCCGAGTTGAACACTTGGAGAACTAGCCAAATCAGGAAAAGATAGCTCCAGTCCACTATGATCCTTGTTCAACCATGTTGGTCTCCAGGAAAACATTCAGAATGTTAGATTAGGTGGCATAGCCGAAGAAGAAATATAGGGCAAATTTTCAGCTACATCTCCATTTCAAAAGAAGAATCTACTTGGATGAAAGGTGGGAGAGGGGGAACTGAGGCCTGATTCTATTAGTTGCGTTGTTGGCCTAACTGCAGAGTCAGGGAGAGTGACATTCATTGTAAAGAAATGGACACAATATCCATTCCCATCACAGTCACTGTAAGGATACTCTACTTTTACTTCTGTATACTGTACTTAAATGGTGGCTTTCCCTGTTATTCAGCCATCTCTGTACAGAACTTCCTCTGGAGCTTATCCAAATATGCTATCCCCACCCTGAGGCTAATCTGAAAAAATAAAACCCACTTATCCTACCTTCTCCTTTCTTCTTGCAGTACCTGAACTAGGCAGCCAAATGCAAGAAGATAACTTTATCCTGCTGGCTTGATGCTCTGAGCTCCGTAGCTAAAGAAAAGTAAAGAGACCAATGGCAATGTTGGCCCAACCAATTGATTTTTCATAGAGGATAACCAATTTGCCTTTTTTTACACTGTTCACAATGAAAAAGCCAACATTTGGGATGGACCATCTAAAATCAACCTTTGCGTTCAGTAAAAGCATCTGAGACAACACACCTAGAACTAACCTCTTGTGCGTGCACTTAGCACTCAATCATACCAATCCTGTTCTCCCCCATTAAGATAAACATCCCTGCACATAGAATACATTCCCCTAGTATCCTAGTTTTTTTTAAATGGATTAAGAGTGATTTGAAGAGATTTTGTGAATTCCTCAGGGTCCTCTTGAGCTGCTCTGTACGTCTCTTCGTGAACTTATATGTCTTAGCTCTCCCTAAGATTTCTCACAGTTGCCCTGTTTTAATTGTGCCCTAAGACATGCAGGTGTACTTGGAACTTGGACTAACCAAATTCCTGCTACAGATCAGCCAATGTTGGAGTGTCACACAATTGCTTTGATGCCCAATTGGCCTGTCAAATGACAGTCTTCCAAGCCATTTCTCAAGTTGTGGCAGTTTCTTGGCACCTATTACTGCACCCCCAATGCCCTTATCCTGACCGTAGCATTTCTTTGCTGTGTACACTTGCAGTTGTGTAGTATTATATTGGCAGCTCAGACTATTGTAATTTAGCAAACAGAAGTATAAGCGAATGAGTGTGCGCCCAAAATGGGAATTAGCCAAACTCGCTCTTCAATAGTAATGTAATAAGTGTGTCTCAATCTTGTAGAAGAACTTCAAAGAAGTTTCTGCTATGAGTCTGACAATGTTCCAGAGTCCTAGAGCCACAATTTATCTAATATGGATCCTCAACAAGTCAAAACCATGCTTCTGTTCTAATTTGCTGCTAAATGTGAAAGAGGTGCCAGGGCTTAAATAGCAACCAATCATTACATCTGGAAGACATATCTTCACATTTCAGATCTATGGAATGATCTGCAGCTTGAGAGAAAGACGATCTGCCCTTGGTGACAAGTATGATGTTATTACTTAGCTGAGCCCTAACATTACTCTGTGCTCCTGATTCAGGTTAAATAAACCCTGGTCTTTTGTTCTCTTCTGCTGGTGGGATGCCCTTCTCAGAACTCCCTTTGTCTGCAGGAGATGTCTCTTTTTTTATCTTGATCACAACTATGAAGAGTAACATCCATGTTAGCAGGACACCACAAGGGAGACCTTCAGAGTGCTAGTGACCAGATGACTGCTAAGGAATATAAATCCTTCCACTCTCCACCATTCCATCAGAACCGAAGAAGTTTCTGGGATGAGAAGTGAAACGTCTTCAAGAAAAAAACCAAGAAAATTCAGTTGCCTTTTTAAAAAGCACCTTTGGGGCAACCATAACCTGGATGACTGAGAGTCTCCATAGATACAAGAGAGAGAGGGTTTCTGTTGAAGGAGCATCTAAACCCACAATCACAGTGGGGGGAAAAAACCAGATGCTGAAATCCTGATGCACACAGATCAGAGTGATGTCTCTCTCAAAGGACGCACTACTAGCCCAGTGGTCCCCAACGGAGTGCCTTCTAAATGAGTTGGACTACAATTCACTTCATTCCCCAGCCAGCCTCCTCTCTCTCCCACCCACCTCTCCCTCGCCATCCCTGTCAATTCTAGATGGCCATGCCGAATAAAAATGGGCAAAAGTTGTAGAGCAACCCATTTGGAGAGCACCAGGTTGGGGAAGGCTGAACTGAAATACTGTGAACTTTCTGCTTGTCAGGTCCTAACAGTTGTGAACTCTCTTGCTGACCCAAAGCATCCTGGCCTCCATACTGCAAATTCCCAATAGTAGGGATTGAGTCTATGAAGGGGAGAAGGAAACGCGACTGAGTTTCAAGACCAGGACTGAAGAGCAGCTGCTTCGAAAGAGAGATTACCTTCACTTGCTTATCTCTCTGAAATGCTGGAGTGACTGGTTGGGACAGGGCAACATTTAACGATGGAGGACAGCAGGTGAGGTTCAGCATTTGGTCACAGTATATAAGCTGTTGCCTGAAAGGAGGGACAGGTAATGCATTTAAGATCTGAGTCGCTCTGAGTTAATGCCACAGCATTTGAAAATTGAAGATGTCTTCAAAACCGGGATGGGGTGGGGGGGGGGGCAGCACAGGAATGACCTTTACCCATGCAAGAGGCTGGCTGACAGAGAGACAGCAGGATGTTGTCCTATGGGGAGAATTTCATTAGGAGTGGAGGATTGCTGGGATCCAGACACTTGAAGCCTACTCCAGAGGCCATCATGGAGGGATGAGAGTCCCCACCCTCAGACGCATACATGCCTGCCATGCTCAGTTTAAAAAAAAAAAAAACCCTCCTCATACTCTTCACCTACAGTACAACCACCGCCATTCTTGGTTTAAAAAGGGAGGGCAGAAAGTGGTGACAGTTGCCTTGGCAGTCGCTTGGCTGGTTTGGCAGTGAAAAGCCTTACCTGGGCTGTTGGGCGTGAAAGGGGATTGTTTGGGTGACCAGTCCCAGCGTTACCCATGGCCTTTTTGCCCACTTTCACTCAGGGATGGGTGGAAGTTATAGGGGGGGAGGGGAGGGGAGGGAGGGAAGGTCTCAGTCTTTCATTCTCTCTGCAACTCAGGGATGGGGCAGGCAGTGTGTACTGTGTGATGTCGACATCGTTGACTCGGTAACACTTGCATTTATCAGTATTAATATTATTACTAGTAGTATTGATGGTCGCATTCATGTCACACCCTTCTCGAGCTGGGGAGGGGCTCCCTCCCTGTGCGGATGGTGCTGAGTCGATGGTATCGAAGACTTTGGAGTAAACTGTGTTGAAAACCTGCCAGTTAAAAATAGAAACAGAATTAAAGGTGGACCTGGAGAGAGAGAGAGAGAGAGAAATCAAGGAAATCAAAAGGAGAAGAAACTCTGAATGGGAATAAGAGTCAGAGACTCAATATATGTTCTTCCTGATTCCCTGATTTTCAGCTGAGAATATCAGCACTCTTAGTAAGCAAGAGCTGGGAAGCCCTTACCTTTCTCCTCCCATACACAGCGCTATTCCACATTGCCGTTCTGATTGTGCCGGTTTTCAGGTGTGCTGGCCTCCTCCTCGCAAGGTGAGAGCTCATCAATAGATGTTTGGTTGGTGATTCCTAGACCGAGAAGGGATCAATCAGAAGCAGAGCATCACAGGTTAGAGAGATCTATGTCTACCTACAGATTTAGATGCAGTTCAACGTGGCCCTAGATCTAGATCTACCTACCCACACAGCTGAGGAAGCTTCTTGGATGAGAAGTAAAATGTATTCAAAGAAAAACAAAGTAAGTCCGGTTGCCTCTTTAAAAAGCACCTTTGGGACAACCATGACCTGGATGGTTGAGAGTCTCCATAGAAATCTACCTACTCATAGTTCTAGATCTATCTGCACACAGATCTAGAGCTATCTACCCTTAGATCCTGCTCTAGATCTATCTATCTATCCATTGATCGAGAGAGATCTGGACAGACCCTGGGTCAGAGAAACCCCTTGGAAGATCAGGTGGCACTGAAGAGGCTGGCAAAGAGACACTGCCAGCCTCTTTATAAGAATTTATAAGAAAGCCAGCCGCAGAAAATGTTCCCAAGGAAAAAGGCAATCATTTTGCAATCATATACAACACTTGGGTGAGATGAGGGAGAAGACTGGAGGTTATAGTGGGTCAGTGATGGTACCAAATGGACTATGTCTCCTATCTTTAGGGTTAGATTAGGATTACTGATATTCATTTTCAAACAATGTTTAATTGTTAGTGCTAATTGTCTTGTATTTTCTGCTTCAGACCAGAGAGAAACTGCCAATGATTTTTCAGGGATTTGAGGGCTGCCACACAAACACCACCCCAATGGGAAGGCAGGAAGCTCTATGCCTTCTGCTTTAATACACAGAAGAGCAGGGCAGGAAGAAGAGCTTGGAAGTCTCTCTCTTCTGGAATGGAACTTTAAAGTCTCATCTTGTAAGAATTTTTTTTTTAATTTAATTGAAAAAAAATATGTGAAGGAACAGGCAGCCTATACATATGGGATATGTGTAGACATCAACATGTCAGAAACCAAGGCTAATCACCATGTTGACATCTAAAAATTATCCTTTTCTTTCTTTTTCTCAACAGCTTAAGGAAGGGACAGAAAGCCTTTAAGGGGACCTGAATGGGAGAATTTCTCCAAAGCTCCCTCACTCCATCAGCATTCCCATACCACTGGCAGCTCGTTCCTTCCACTTCTGCTTGTTCTCTTGGATGTACTTGCTCCAGGTGGAACGGAAGCTTTTGATGTCAGCGTTGATGTCCCCCAGCTCAGCATGTTCGTCTACAGAAGTCTGACGCCAGGTGGAACTGTGGGCAGTGGGATACATTCAGAACATGTACATCCCCTGAGTGGTCAATGAAGGCAGCAAGGAGCAACTGTGAACATTTCCTCTTCTCTCTTCCCTGTGCTGGCTCTTCTTGAGCTCTTCCACTTCATGCCTTGTCATCACTACATCTCTCTCTCTTACTTCTCTCTAGCAATGTACTGCCTGGTTACATACTTTTCTAAAGTATGCGTTTGGAGGCCCATTCTCACCTTAAAACACCTGTTTTCCATGCATGAAACATTTTTTGATGGGCAGTAGAGATGTAGAATCTGACATCCATCCAGCCCTAAATACAAGAACTTCCATTCCTCATTTGACCATGTTTCCTCAGTAAATTCAGTGACGATGACCGTATACGATATGTCTCTATATCTATTGCACTTCCGTTATTTTACATTAAAAATTCCATTTGGAACTGTATCTTTGACGGGCTTTCAAAAAGTCACATTTTCAAACAAAGTGACAGGAGATTCCTTTGCTCTTTTAAAGAAAAAAAGTCCAATAAGAAAACCATTTATCTTAATTCAGTAGCATCATCTGACCTTAACAACAGGGTGGGAGGAATATATTCTTTGCCTGGGAAACATGCACTGAATCAGGGGTCTCCAACCTAGGCAACTTTAAGTCTGGAGACTTCAACTCCCAGGATTCCCCAGCCAGCAAAGCTGGCTGTGGAATTCTGGGAGTTGAAGTCCTCCAGACTTAAAATTGCCAAGGTTGGAGATCCCTGCACTGAATCTTTCTTCGTTGGTATTCACTGAACAGGTCAGGACTGTACAAGGCAGCACAACAACCTCAACTGCTTGTTGTGGTCCTACAAGGGATATTTATACAAAACCTGATATGGCTGCCAGCTAGGCCACTTGGCACTGGCATTCTGGGAAATTGTGATTTCCATCTGATCTCACAGGCTGCTTGCAATCTCTTTGGCCCTCATCTTTTGCCCTGATCAACAGGCAGCGTACATGAGGAAAACAGTCATCAAGGCCCTGGACTCACCGTCAGAGAGCAAACCTCAAAGGCATTTTCCCACAGGATTCCTTACTGCCATTCAGTATTGACCCTGGGCAATGCTGTACACTCTACTTTTCACCTAGAGATGCATTGCATCATCCATACAAATATATTTATTAAATTTACTATATATGCTCCTTCTCAAGCCCAGGAAACCAGGAGCCAAGGTGGTTCAAGTGAATTCAGGTTAATTGCATGCTAAAAGTAAAGGTTCCCCTCACACATATATGATAGTCGTTCCTAACTCTAGGGGGCGGTGCTCATCTCCGTTTCAAAGCCGAAGAGCCAGCACTGTCCAAAGATGTCTCCGTGGTCATGTGGCTGGCATGACTAAACACCAAAGGCGCACGGAACGCTGTTACCTTCCCACCAAAGGTGGTCCCTATTTTTCTACTTGCATTTTTTAAGTGCTTTCGGACTGCTAGGTTGGCAGAAGCTGGGACAAGTAACGGGAGCTCACCCCATTACATGGCACTAGGGTTTCAAACCGTTCAACTGCCGACCTTTCAATCGACAAGCTCAGCATCTTAGTCACTGAGCCACTGCATCCTTAATTATATGCTAGCACTCTATAAAAATCTAACGGTCAAAGCAAATTGGCAGTAGATAAAAGTCAATGGAATTCAAGGTAAGCTGGACTTAGATCCATTGTGGTTGTAAAGGGACTCAAGACTGATGACGTGCTTGACCTCTCCCTCAGGCTCAGCCTAGTCATCTCCTACACTTCCCATCTCATTATCGAGTGAGTCTCATCTGTCAAACCTGGGGCAATCAAGATCATTACTACAGGTTTTGCCTTCCCCTGCAGGGAGAGAATTTTTTTGCAGCAGTCCACCATCAGTGGTACACGCCAAAGGTCACACCTGCTCTTCCCAGTTAGGAGAGAAGCTACTGTCAAGAGATGTAAAAATCTCAAATGCCAGGCTTTGGAGAGCTGCTGCCACTAGTCAGTAAACAATTCCAAGCTAGACAGACAATCCACCTTAAAAATGGCACTTTCTTATATCTAGTCAGATATATAGGGGCAAATATGCTTAAGCGTTCCCTGGCTTCTTTCCTCCACCTGATGTGGCACAGTCTGACAATTGAAAAATGCACAGAAGCAAAGTCTGGCCACTGTAGCTGAACCAGTTCCAAATAGGCAGAATGGGACAACTCTCTGCAGCCAACTCGCCACAGGACAACTTGCTGTGGGACAATTCCACATGGGATAACTCAATGCAATAAAAGTTATCCACCACTGTTTCTTCAACATTATTTCCATTGACTAAAATGGAAGTCATGTAGAAAAAACTGTGGCGGAAAACATTTATTGCATTGAGTTATCCCACTTGGATTGTCCCGTGGCGGGTTGGCCATGCTGGGTTGGCCATGGTGAGTTGACTGCAGCAAATTGTCTTAGACCGCCAGATAGGTAGGGAAGTGGGTGGCTGCGAAGGACCCATGCCTTCTCCAATCCATTTAGAGAGGAAGGAGTGTATGACTATATACCATCAAATTGTATTATTACAATGGCTGATCACAGTCAGCCAGATGTTCAGGCTCGATTTGGCATTTTTATCCAACTATCGAATCCTTCCCAAGGACCTGGGAGAGGCTGTGGTTGTTTTATAAAATCAAAGGTGCCGTTGCAGAATGTGAGCTGTTCCAAGTACAGCTGCCTTTCGCAATTGATTTATTATGCAATTGACATATTATGGCTTGTCATTATTATGGCTTGTCACACAGTCAGCCAGATGTCTAGGCTGGATTTGGCATTTTTAATCCACCTATCGAATCCTTTCCAAGGTTATTGTTATTATTTTCTGCTTCTTTTCAGACACCGGAAGAAGAGGCTTGCAAAAGACTGTGCATGGCTGTCTGCAGGCAGGGTCAGCTCCCAACTGGAGGATGAAGCTATCCTTCCTGCTGGAGGAGATGTAAGAAAATACTGACTCTGACAGTTAGGCTGAGGCAGAGGAGTTTATTTAGGTATTTATTTGATGCTGCCCGACTCCAAACATCACAATATACCAGACAGTATAATACAAACAATATCGTGTTCAAAGGCTAGACCAGTCAGAATGCCATCAGGGACCCAGAGAAAACAGTTTCTGTTAAGAGACAGTAACATTTTTTCCCCCAGAATTGTGAACAAGATTGAAAAGCAATCTTCCACCTGCTGATCTACATTAGGGAGGTCAGATCAGAGAGTTGGAATGTTGGAGAAGCAGGACAAAATCCTAGGAAGAACTCATGCCACAAAGCAGCGTTTCTCAACATCGGCAACTTCAAGATGTGTGGACTTCAACTCCCAGAATTCCCCAGGCAGCCATGCCGGCTGAGGAATTCTGGGAGTTGAAGTCCACACATCTTGAAGTTGCCGATGTTGAGAAACGCTGCAATAAAGAATGCCAAACAGGTTCACTCCATCCCCTACGGCTGCATCTCCCGGTCTTCCACAATTCCCCATCCCCACCAGTACCGTATTTTTCGGACTATAAGACATTCCGGACTATAAGATGCACCTGGCTTTTGGGGAGGAAAACAAGAAAAAAAATCTGCTTCTACCTCCCAGCAATTTTCCTTCTTGCAGCAAACAGCCTGGTCAGCTTCAGCACAGCCTGATTTAGCACGAGCAGCTGATTGGCGGTTGGATCTGCTTCCCGGAATACCACCAATGAGCTGTTCCAGGCTGCGGGGATCGCCACTGCCCATTGCCACCGTCGCCATCCATCGCCGCTGCTGTCTATTGCTGCCTCTGTGTGCCCCATTTTCGGCCTCCACACATCCCGTTTTCGCCTCCACGTGCCCCATTTTTGGCCTCCACGCGTCCCATTTTCAGCCCGTTCCAGGTGCTGGGGATAGGCGATGGTGGCGATCCCCGCCGCTTGGAATGGGCTGAAAACAGGGTGCATGGAGGCCAAAAATGGGGCGCATGGAGGCAGTGATAGGCGGTAGTGGCAATGGGCGGCAACGTTAACAAAGTGCGGTGGCGATCCCCGCAGTCTGGAACAGCTGATCGGCGGTATTCCGGGAGGCCGATCCAACCACCAATCAGCTGCTCGTGCTAAATCAAGCTGTGGTGAAGTTGACAAGGCTGTTTGCTGTTTGTTGCAAGGAGACAAATTGCTGGGAGGCAGAGGCCAAAGGGTGAGTGCCGTCGGGTGGGTGGGGCTTCGGCAACATTCACTGTATAAGACGCAGAGACATTTCCACCCACTTGGGGGGGGGGAGTGCGTCTTATACACCAAAAAATATGGTAAATACAAACCTGCTCTGCTGGCTGGACAATTTGTTCTTGGAACCTTCTTCCACTAATGGGATGATCATTTTCTCTGCTACGTCTGTCAGAACTTGGAAAGTGGGTTCCACAATAAAGTCAATGAAACCTGTGGAAGGAAAAGAGTGTTAGGGATAAGCCCATGGGCTTCTCTGCTTTCTTCTGAAAGATTATACACAGAGTGCAACGAGGACAGTTCGCTTTGCTGTCCCTGTGGCAGGAAAAAATAAACCAACCGAGTGGAGGATACATGAGCATCTCTACTACATTGAGGGAGGAAAGGAAGAGGCGGTCAAGGAGAGCTCCACCGTGGCATACAGTCTGGGTTGCTGTTTTTTTTACCACTCACCAATCTGTGACTGGGCCACCAGGGTGGATGTGCGATCACATAATGGGGAGAAGGGCAATCCCAGCTCAGCTTCCTTGTCTCCCTATAAAAAACAAGGCAGATAAGAACCAAGTCTTGTAGTGTGATGGCTGAGGTGACACGGCATATGTAACCTGAACAATTATATTCATGGAAGGTGTTAAACTTGGCTAATTTTAATTTAATTTGATGGTCCTGTGGCGCAGAAGTCATGCAATCCAGCCTCGGGAGTGCTTCACAATTCAGTGTATGATATAAACCCAGAAAATAGGCTAATTGGCTAAACAGGTATAACATGCAGTGCAAACTCAGCCACAGTTCATGCATGGAATATAATCTTTCAATGAAAACGCTATAGATTCGGTGCAACCTGACAACCGTGGCTTTGTTTCAAAAAGCAAATGTCTGTGACTATCAGAAAGGCAAACATGATTTCAGCAGTCCTATCTGGCATCCAAGCCCCAACATTATAACCCCCTCCAAGGGAGAATCCCAGGCATACCTGGCGGAAGAACTCTTCCATGAGAGCTTTGGTCCATTTGCAGTGCACCGGCCATTGTTTGGTGGGGTGGCTGATATCAGCTGCATGCAGCAACAAGGAGAGGGCTTTTGATTTGTCGATCCTGGGGAAGCAGCAGTACAAGAATAGCAAGAATGGGGTCAGATCTTGCCCCTGGCATAATGTACCTGCAAAGGCACCAGTGTCCCAATTGGGACAGGCAGCCTCCTGTTTGCTATGCTAGGCTCCCACTTTTGCTGCTGTATAGAAGCCTGATTTAGCAAGTATCAACCCCCATCCCATCAAGAAGTAGGATTACCACTACTGTGTACATCCTTATCCCAGAGACTACTTTTCCACTGGTGTTTCATAGCTGATTTTTAAAAATCCAGTTATACTTCTTAGGCAACAGGAGAAACTTCTGCCACTTCTTACTTCATGCTCCACACATATATGTGAAGACCTTGACTTTTCCCCATGCCCTCTGCGCATGCCAGAAGCAGCCAGGAAGGAACCTGGGCAACCTCAAAGAACTGTTGACTATTATTCAGACATCTGTTTCCAGATGCATCTATCTATCTATCTATCTATCTATCTATCTATCTATCTATCTATCTATCTATCTATCTATCTATCTATCTATCTATCATCTATCTATCTATCTCTATCCATCCATCCATCTCTCTCTGTCTCCCCCCCTCCCTCTCTCTGTATGTATGAGTGTGAGTGTGTGTGTGTGTGTGTGTGTGTATCAGTGGTGGGTTGCTCCCGGTTCTGTCCGGTTCTTTAGAACCGGTAGTAAAAGCGGCAGGAGGCTCCGCCCACCCGTCTGGACGTCATAATTGACAATCTGCGCATACCGAACCGGTAGCAATGATCCTGTTGTGAACCGGTAGTAAAGGTAAGTAGAACCCACCCCTGGTGTGTACGCATATAATTTACTGGTATATATTGATCTATATATATCTAGTTTATAGTATAGTATGTGTATATATGTATGTGTGTGTGTGTGTATGTGTGTAACACAGAGTTGCAGTTTGTCAACAGAAAAAAAGCCCTGAAGCTTGTGAATGAGATTTCACACAACCAGAGCTGCAAAACAACTTAGTTTACGTAGGTAAAACCTGGCTAGAAAGAATATGCACATAAAAGCCTACGAAAAAGAAAAAGACATATATATGTGTGTGTGTGTGTGTGTGTGTGTGTGTGTGTTCTTAAGTTTTCGCGGGTGTGCATATGCAAAAAATTAAAATCTCGGGTGTTTTCCCACGTCATTGTAAATAAATTGGTTAAAATGTTTAAAATTCTGGTTAAAATTCCAGCTTAAAATCTTCTAAAAATCCTTACAGAGCACTCTGCAAGGTCCTTTAAAACCTCAGCTAAAATCCTACCAGTGACTTTAAAAGTTTTTCTTATAGCAACATTTCGACAGGCTCACAACCCTGTCATCTTCAGGCTCTTGTTTCATCATTTATATATATCTGTTTCATCTAGTTATCTATCTACCTATCTACCTATCTATCTATCTATCTATCTATCTATCTATCTATCTATCTATCTATCTATCTATCTATCATGTATCTCTCTCATCTCTCAATCTATCTCTCTCAACCTCCCTCTCTCTCTCTCTCTCTCTCCCTCCCTCCCTCCCTCCTTCTCTCTCATCATCTATCTCTGTAAAGGAAGCATTATCCACCCTCACCCTGAATTGACTTAGTTGTCAGCATCATCACTAGAAAACTCCCTGAGGTTAGCTAAAGAGCTTTCTAATGTCTGCAGGTTTAATATGTATCTGCCAACTTTCAGTGCTTTTTATGCTTTCAAATCCATTTTTTCTATTACATATCCAGAGGTCATTATAGCATTTTTTAAAAATACATGCATGTGCACACACAGCCCTCCTTCTGCCATTTACCGTTCGAGCTGCTGCAGGGAAGTTTTCATGGACTTGACTTGCTGGAAGTGACAGGACATGTCTGTAGCCAGAACCATTTCAATCACCAGTGACCGGAGCTCCCTGCACCCCATGAAATAAAGAAACACAGCCACCATCAAAGACATTCTTCCTTATGTGTTTCAACTTCCCACACAAATACATTCTGCAGATAAACCCGGAGGAATGTGGGGGGGATCTATCCATTCAGTTCAGTGGTGGGTTGCTCCCAGTGCGGCCCAGTTCGGCCGAGCCGGTAGCGGTGACGCTATTACGTCACCAAACGGTTCTCTTTCTTTGGGAGCTGGGCCCTCCCGCCTGCCCCCGCGTTATTCCGACCTTATATTTCTTCTTTTTTCGCCCAGCTGAGAAGTGCGGCAGAGTGGATTGCCGCACCTCAGCTGGACAGATTCGCAACACGCTTGCGCAAAGTGCGCGACCGAAGAGGCGATCATGCACGAAGCGCACGCACAAAGAGAACCAGTAGTAAAGCCCGTTAGAACCCATTCAGTTACTATGAGTGATCACATTTGAGTTGAAACTCTGCAATCCCAGAAGAAAAATTCTGCACCAAGATGACACAAATATCAAAAACGTTTGAACATCAAATAACATTGTTACCATGTTTAGCTTTTGATATTGTGTTTGATAATGACAGTCATGTCTTTAACCTTTTTTCCTAGGGGGGCTGGAAAGATTCAAATTCCATTAGAGACACACAAACGCTTTCTGTCTGTCTATTCAGTGTATTCCCAAAGATAATATATCTCCACACTGACTGCTTTGCTGCAGGAAGTCTTTGGAAATCCTATCTTCCCAGCAAGTCTTCCGCAGTTGTAATATGTTTATCAGAAGGAGTCTGCCAACTTTAATTTCATTTTTTTTTCTGCCTAGGAATGGATTTAATAAGTAATCATCTTTGCAGTTGAGCAGCGGAGCTTAAAAATAATTCAGTAGAATTTAAAAGCTTAATTTCACCATGCCTCTAGAATCAAACAAATAACACACACAAATATATGCATCCCGGAAAATTCTAATTCGAAAATCTGTATACATTCCAATGCAAAATTCACCACATTTAGTACATTGAGTGTACTAAATGTACATGAGAGAGGATATTTGTGCTCCGTTTCCTTCCTTCCCTCCCCTTCTCCTCCCCCACAAATCTTATATTTCATCAAATCTAAAGATTTATTGCTCAAGCAACCAAAAAGTGGATTCCCAAACATGATAAGAGGAAAGGGGAGCTGACTTCAAGAAAATTAGACAACTTATCATAATCATTATGTACCAAGCCTCATGGGCCCTCTCAGCTAGGCTGAGGGAGTATTGTAACAACAGACATGGGCCTAAAATGAGAACATCTGGTTTGTAAATTGTCTTGAATCTGGAAATAGTTTCAAACCTGGGTGTCAGGCAGAAGAATAGAGTGCAGGCTGAAGCTGTCAATCAAACCAAGTGAGAGGTGCTGGCATGGTAATGAAGCTCTCGTTCAACCTCTCAAGAATGAAAAGAGGTATGAAAAGTAGGAGAGCCACAGAGCAAGTCTTGCAAACAACTTTAGGATGAATGCTGGTAGAACCCAGAGCCCTTGTCATCACTGCTTATTAGTCATTGCAAGACTCCCTGAGCCAGAGGTGGGTTTCAGCAGATCTAACCAGTTCTGGAGAACCAATAGCGGAAATTTTGAGTAGTTCGGAGAACCGGTAAATACCACATCTGACTGACCCCGCCCCCATCTATTCTCTGCCTCCCGAGTCCCAGCTGATCGGGAGGAAATGGGGATTTTGCAGTAACCTTCCCCTGGAGTGGGGAGGGAATGGAGATTTTATAGTATCCTTCCCCTGCCATGCCCACCAAGCCACGCCCACAGAACCAGTAGTAAAAAAAATTGAATCCCACCACTGCCCTGAGCAGCTATGTGTGTACAGAAACGCACGCACAATCCCATTAGGAAGTTCTCTGCATCATGCAAGAGGACAATTTGCTACCTTTTGCTAGTAGGCCAGTTACGAAAACCAAGGATAGGTGATCAGAAGTCCTACCCTCATACCACAAAATGTCTGAACAACAACTGAGAACTTCTAAAGTTTAGAATCTAAACACTACAAACGCACTGCTTAGAAAGGTTTGGTATGTTTGAGTCATTTTAGCTTCAAAATGTCTAAAAACATAATGCCTAAAGAAAAATATTAAAATTATTTCTGCTGCCATCTAAGCAACCCCTGCTATGTACAAGTCGCTGGTTCTGAGATGCTGGGATCAATTTCCTTCGATCATCTTTGGAAATGTAAGAGAAGACATGACACCCCAAACTGGAGATATCCCAAAATGAATGGATATCAGATGGAACTGATTAAAGGCAATTAGAAGGAGTCCCACCTAGGAGCAGTTAACGTGATTATAAACCCAAGCCCGCTTAACTAGAGGAAGAAGCTCAACTTAATTGTTGCCCTTTCTCACAACTATGTATAAACACACAACATTTTGCAGGAAGAGGGCATCGTGTTCCAGTTAACCGCAAAGCTGACCGTCAATTGGTTGATTTCTGCCCTACTCCACCCTACAAGGCCTGGAAGCGTTTCAGTGAAAGCATGACCCCATTTTTCCTGGTAGCATAGTTCAGTCGAGAAAGGGAGGCTGAGGACTCACACAAATTCATCCTTGGCCAGGTTAACAAGTACATTCATCTCTTCATCCTGCATCATGCGGAAGACGGCGCTGATGTGATGGTTCTCCAGAACTGACCGGTCATTATACAAAATGGCTGTATCTGACCTGAAAAAAAGGAAGGAAACCATAAAGCAAACACAATGTCAAGGACAGGAATGAACGATCTTGGGTTTGTTGTTTTTTGAGGAACTTTTCAACATTTTGGTTAATTCCAAATACAGGCAGTCCCCGCCTTATGACTATAATTGAGCCCCACATTTCTGTTGTTAAGCAAAACGTTTGTTAAGTGACTAAGATTTTTCTTGCCACAGTTGTTGAGGGAATCACTGAAATTGTTACGTTAGTAGCCCGGTTAAGTGATTCTGGCTTCCCCATTGACTTTGCATGTCAGAAGGTCGCAAAAGCTGATCATGTGACCCAGGGACACTGCAACTGTCATAAATATGAACCGGTTGCCAAGCATCCCAAATTTTGATCACATAACCATAGGGATACTGCAACGGTCATAAGTGTGAAAAATGGTCATAACGAGTCACTTTTTTCAATCCCATTGTAACTTGGAATTGTCACTAAATGAACTGTTGTAAGTCAAGGACTACCTATACACAATGGCTTACACCGGTTTATCTTTATTGCATGGCAAAAAGAGGCATAGTTGACTTACTATTTGTTATTGTACGTTCCAAAAGTCTTCCAGAACTCTTCTTTCCTCTAAAACAACAGTGTAAGTTTAACAATGGAACGTTCATACAACCTCTTTACTTACTTGGTCTGGATGTGGAAGCTGTTGGTGGTACCCGTGTGCTCATAGTCATGGATTGCAGCTGCAAAGATAATGGCCAGGGCCTCAATCTCTGTCAGGCAGTGCTGCAGAGGAAGAAGAAGCAGGAGAGATGATCAGCATGTTTGGGAGTGAAAGGGTGATGTCTGGGAATAACCCCAGAACTTTGCCACCATAAATGGAGGTCAAGTTCTACACTTGAGGGTCATCCCTATGACCAAAACTTCCTGATTCCATAACCTTTCTACATTAGTTGCTGTCCTATCTGTGGAATAAATTTTGACTTAAAACCTACTTTCCTGGAAACGGACATTATAACAATTGCATTTCATATGGCAAGAGGAGAAGCAGCAACAAGGCACAGATAGATACCCATCTTACTGTCCTTGGGTGCACATGTGTGGCTGAGTACGTGCAAAATAAGATATACAGATATAAACATAAATTTGCTCCCACATAGGACATGTTCCATTTCTCATCTTAGATGAGATGACGGCAAACATGGTTTTGTGTCATTCCAAAGAAAATTTCTGTTCTCTGATATTTAACAGAATAACAAAGTTGGAAGGGACCTTGGAGGTCTTCTAGTCCAACCCCCTGCTCAGGCAGGAAACCCTACACCACTTCAGACAAATGGTTACCCAACATCTTCTTAAAAACCTCCAGTAATGGAGCTCCCACAACTTCCAAAGGCAAGCCATTCCACTAATGAATTGTTCTCACTATCAGGAAATTCTTCCTTAGTTCTAGGTTGCTTCTCTCCTTGATTAGTTTCCATCCGTTGCTTCTTGTCCTGCTTTCAGGCATTTTGAGGAATAGGTTGACTCTCTCTTCTTTATGGCAGCCCCAGAGATATTGGAACACTGCTATCATGTCACCCTTAGTCCTTCCTTTCATTAAACTAGACATACCCAGTTCCTGCAACCTCTCACACCACTTCTAGGTGTGCTGGGAATACGACTACCAACATTTTCAGTGGGCACCATCCTCATGCAGAGCCAATTGCTGGTTATGTCCTTCAAAGCCCGAAGAGAAGCATCCTAACTTAATGGCTGTGTTTTCCCCAATAAGTCTGTCCTGGTTTTAAAGATATTGGGAAAAGTACTTCCTTCTGCCTTGCCCTAGTTGGAAGATGTTGCTTCCTGCCATGGGACCTTCCCTCTTCAGAGAGATTTCATTTTCAAGATGTTTAATTTGCCGGAATGCATTTTAGCAGGTCAGATTACTGATTTACTTTAGGGTTTGTTTGGTTTTTTTTACTTGATATGATTTTATATTTTAATTACAACTGCATATTCATCTTGTAATATAATCTGTAGCAGAGGTGAAATGCTCCCGGTTTGGACCGGATTTCCCGATCCGGTAGTGATGGCAGCGGATGGTTTAGCAAAAACCCCTGCATCCCCTCCCCCCATGCCCAGCTGAGCCGTGCGATCATCAGAGGGTGGTTTTTTTTAACTTTTAAAAGCATTTTTTCTACAACCTCTTCGGCTGTAAAAAGAAAAAGCCTCTGATGATCACGCGGCTCAGTTGGGATTGTCAAAGGCTTTTAAAAGCATTTTTTATACAACCTCTTCAGCCGAAGAGGTTGTAGGGGGGAAAAAATGCCTTTAAAAGCCTCTGGCGATCCCAGCTGAGTTGACTGATCGTCAGAGGCTTCTAAAAGCATTTTTTTTCTGCAACCTCTTAAGGAAAAAATGCAGAAAAAATGCTTTTAAAAGTTAAAAAAAAAAAGTTGGCCACACCCACCCAGTCACATTACCCCCCCACCACCAAGCCACACCCACAGAACCGGTAGTAACAAATTTTAGATTTCACCCCTGACCTGTAGACTTTTTGCTTAATGCCCTATTTGGGCATTAATGGGGTGGGGGACACACACCTCACTTAGCAGACATTTGCTGATTGCGAACAGTTTTCCCAATTCCTGGCTTAGTGCTAAACTGGGGAGATCACTGTTGTTGTTTGTTTTCGCATATGGTGAATTATTCTTTGATCAAGAATAATTTGGGAGCAAAACAGCATGTAGGTCGCATTCCTGATATTTGTCCTAGGTACAGCAGTGGTGGGATTCAGCCGGTTCTGTCCAGATTGTGCGAACCGATAGCAGCAACTGCAGGAGGCTCCGCCCACCCGCTCAAACTTAATACGTGACTACTGCGCACTCACATTTGCGAACCAACAGGGAAGGTAAGTGAATCCCACCTCTAAGATACAGTAATTAATGTCAACCCAGCAGAAACGTAGGCACTAAAACCCAAGATTTGAAAGTTTCTTCAGACCCCAAAAAGCAGAATTAAATTTTTAAGCATGTGATATCAACACTTCCCAGATGGAGGGTGGACAAATGGGGACATTTGCTGAAGCACTCAGTCTATAGGTTAGCCTTACCACCATGCCCGTGCGAAGCAGGAAGCAATGTACAGTCTGGGTAACATCAGCAGCATGTATCTGATTGTGATAAGGGTTCTTATATTTCCCATAACCAGCCTCCAGTGCATCCAGGAAAGTCATGAGGTACACCGTGGGGATCTGAAAAACAACAAAGACAAAGTGACCTTAGGCAAGATCTCAAAACAGTTGCAAGCCTAGCTGTCTTCTATTGAGTCTGATAGTTGCTCCATCTGAAGAGCCGTGGTGGCGCAGCGGTTAGAATGCAGTATTGCAGGCTAATTCTGCCAACTGCCAGCAGTTCGATCTTCACCAGCTCAAGGTTGACTCAGTTTTCCACCCTTCTGAAGTCGGTAAAATGAGGACCCAGAATGGGGGGGGCATAGGCTGACTCTGTAAACCGCTTAGAGAGGGCTGTAAAGCACTGTGAAGCGGTATATAAGTCAAAGTGCTATTGCTATCTAGTTTGGTGCCACCTGTATTAGTCTTTCCAAGCATGTCTTCCAATTATGAGGGATTATAACTTCTCAGCCATCATGGAAAGTCTGGCTTGAGATGATGGGGGTTGTAGTCTAACAGGTCTGAAATGTAAACTGCCTAAGTAGTGATGGATCTCCAGAATTCCAGAACAGGAGTTTTTCCCAGTCCAATTTGGAGATGCTGGAGACTGAGCACAAAAACCCTTTTCATACCTTGGCTTCTGTGCAGACTGGGATTCTCATATTAGTAAACAGTATATGATCTACTGCTGTGTTTTTCAAACTTGGCAAGTTTAAGATGTGTGTCATTCAATTCCCAGAATTCTCCAGCCAGCAACTGGTGATTGGGATCGCAATCAGTCACAGTTTGTTCTCATAATGGTTTGTAGAAAAAGCCAGAGTGACCCAGGGGGTACATACTGGCAAGTCAAATTATGGCTCAGCATTTGTTAAAAATAAAAGTTTTAAAGGTAGAGCTAGACGACTGTAGACTTATCATGAATATCTGCATCTTCTCTCATCAAAGCAACATCTCATCTGGAAAATGTTGAACTATTCACTCTGGAGAAGCAGCTGGTCTCCTGCTGAGGTTTAGGACTATTATTTATTTATTTATTTATTTATTTATTTATTTTATTAAATTTATATGCTGCCCTTCTCCCGTAGGACTCGGGGCGGCGCACAGAATAAAAACATGTAACAATAAGAAATCCTAAAAACAGCCAATATAAACTACATGTTTCCCCCAAAATAAGACATCCCCTGATAATAACCCAATCGGGCTTTTGAGCGCATGGCAATAAGGCCAAGCACTTATTTCAGGGTTCAAAAAAATACAAGACAGGGTCTTATTTTCGGGAAAACACGGTATCACTCCCATAATTTTATGCCACTGGCTTCGCCCATGAAGGATGATGAGTTTTCAGGTATAAACATCAACCAGGTTTCCATTATTGTAACCTTCCCCCTCAAAAAAAGCCCTGGTAATCTAAACAACATATTAAACTCCTGTTGTGTTTTAATGCGAGAAATTACTATGATTACTTTGCTGGTGTCCTTTCAAGTTGAAGCATCTGGCCCACTTTGGCTGATATTAAAAAAACAAACAACCAGAAAAGCTAAGTGGGATCAAATCTACTTCCTACAAATCACTTCTGGGGAGATCAGCAAGGGCCATATGTGATTCAAGAGAGTCTTTTTGACTCTGTTGGAAATTTGGCAAAGTAAAAGACGAAGGGGCAGTATCTCAGCCTGCTTTACCCAAAGTGCTCCATCACTAGAGGTTTTCCAAGAAGAGATTGGGCAACCAATTATCTGAACTGGTGTAGGGTTCCCTGCCTGAGCAGGGGTTGGACTAGAAGACCTCCAAGGTCCCTTCCAATTCTATTATTCTGTTAAATTCTCAGATTGGGGGGGGGGAAGAGGGGAAAGAAGAAAAAGGACCCCACCCACTTCTGACTCTGGATCTGATCACAGACCACTCTGGCTTCAGCCTTTCGCCTGCAGATCTGATTCGCCAACTGATCACCCCTATAAAAATAGGACCCTCGCCCCCAAAAAGTGCACCCTCTCTTCTACTTTAAAAGCAGCATTATAATGCCGCCCTCTCTAACTTCTCACAATTTGGAATGCTGATTTAATCTATAGGCATACCTGGATGTGCTCAGACCCATTCGTTGCTTACCTTGAAGCGGCTGTTGAGATTGTGGCGGGTGAGCAGTTCAAAGACAATTGTGCGCAAGGCATGGTCTTCGCTCACCCTGTTCAGTGCAAAGACATCGAAAAACCAGAGGTCAAGAGTCTAGGAAGGATACAGAGGTAGAATGGAGAGAGATGGAACAGGAGAGGAGGGTCAAATTTGCTGAAACTACTAAGCAAAGGACTTACATCTGGTGTAGGAAGGGGGAACATTGGAATAAGGCTCCAAAAGAAAAGGATATTTTTGGTTTGTTTGTTTTTTTAAAAAGGGCTATTAGATTGAACTTAATGTGCACCAAGAAATCCATTTCTAGGTATTAATCATTTCACTAACAAATAGGTCTATCTATCTGTCTGTCCATCCATTCATCCACCCTTAAAGGTAAAGGTTCCCCTCGCACATATGTGCTAGTCGTTCCTGACTCTAGGGGGTGGTGCTCATCTCCATTTCAAAGCCAAAGAGCCAGTGCTGTCCTAAGACATCTTCATGGTCATGTGGCTGGCATGACTAAATGCCAAAGGCGAACGGAACACTGTTACCTTCCCACCAAAGGTGGTCCCTATTTTTCTACTTACATTTTTTACGTGCTTTCGGACTGCTAGGTTGGCAGATGCTGGGACAAGTAACAGGAGCTCACCCCGTTACACGGCACTAGGGATTCAAACCGCTGAACTGCCAACCTTTCGATCGACAAGCTCAGCGTCTTAGCCACTGAGTCACTGCGTCCCTTACACACATCCACCCTTACACACACATTATAGACCCATAATACACTTAATGTTTACTTACTGTCAGGGTCCACAAACCAAGAGAGACACACAGAATTACTTCTAGGCAATTTATGGTTCTTCACCTATAGGCAGAAAACTTGCCAAGCTAAAGTAACTACTTGCATCATTAAAGATATTTAAAGAACTTCTAGGGAAGTACTGCCTTGACCCTCTTTTTCCCGACCAAAATATCTAAATTAGCCTTTCGGTTCTCTGGAAATGCAGCTCTTCCCTCCTGGGAATCCAGACTGCATTCTACCACATGCACAATTCTATTTCAAATTACTCCAGGTGGTTTATAATACGTATCAAACAGAATTCCTCTAAGCTTCTCTCTTCTGTGGTGATTAATTAGCCCCTACAGTGCAGATTATTGACGACTGGTCAGAACTAAGAGTTTCGGGAAAGCTTTGCCTCCAGTTTTCTTTTTATAGAGCCGATAGCAGAGAATAGCTCGAAAAGGTATTGTGTGACTCATAAATATTGACCCCCATGAATGGCTTGAGGTGATGGGCAAAAGTGGCCTTCAGAATTTGGGTGGCGCAAATGACAGAAGCCACCTCTCAAGCAGGAGAAACCACCGATGCAAAAATTAGGAATTATTACCAGAGTGTAAGGCTCATTACACCCAACAGAGACTTACACAGGTAGCATAGTGTTGTTATAAAGGTAAAGAGTTGTTACCTTCAGACAATTGATGACCGATTGAGAATAATTGGGTCCCACAGCTGTGTACGTTCGACGGAACATCCTGTGCAGTAGAGGACACAGTCAGACAGTCCCTGGGAGATCTTGGTTATTTTGCAATTAGAAATAGCTTCCAAATCCCATCAAGCATGCAAGGAGCATTCAGCTTTCTCCAGGCAAGGCAATAAATTTCAGGCATGCTGAACTGGAGCCTCTTCTCCAGAGATACTAAGAATCAATAGCCCAGTAGCATTCCAGACAAATTCGCCAGACTCACGAGACTCACTCTAATTTACTATATTTCATAATACAGGTAGTCCTCGACTTACCGACCACAATCGAGGCCAACATTTCTGTTATTAAGTGAGACATTGTTAAAGTGGGTTTTGCCCCCATTTTACGATTTTTCTTGCCACGGTTGTTAAGTAAATCACTGCATTTGATAATTTAGCAACCTGGCTGTTAGGGGAATCTGGTTTCCCCATCGACTTTGCTTGTCAGAAGGTTGCAAAAGGTGGATCATGTGACCTTAGGACACAGCAAAGGTCGTAAATATGAACCAGTTGCCAAGAGTCTGAATTTGGAGCAGTTGATCCTGGGGATGCTGCAAAGGTCGTAACTATGAAAAACGGTCAGAAGTCACATATTTCAGTACCGTTATAACTTTGAACGGTCACTAAACGAACTATTGTAAATTGAGGACTACCTGTGTAATAATTTTCAATTTCAATTTTCAACACTATTATATGCATTTTTATCTATTTCCTCCTTTCCTCTCGCTCCTTTTCATTATCCCTTTTCCTAAACTAGAACTAAGATACATTCCCCCCTGCGCAGATTCCCCAGAACTAAGTCAGATCCAGGTTGTCCATTTGACCCACTTTGCTCCAACCTGATGCCCTCCTAAAGAGGCTACACAACCATCATCCCTAACCAGCTGTTGTGGTCCGCCAGCAGCCTGCGGACCTGGCAGCGGAATCAGATAGTGAGGAGGCTGGAGAGGACAATGGGCCAGTCCTGGAGTCGGGGAAGGCCTGGACGAGGGCTCTGCATCAGAGGCAGAGATGGGGCCGGGCCCATCTGGGAGCGATGCGCAGACTCCGGAGCCTCCAGAGACAGACAGCAGAGAGGCAAAGGAACAGGAGGAGCCTGTTCCTAGTGCACGCATGCGAAGAGCTGCCAGAATGCAAGAGCAGCTGAAGCAAAAAGGACTACTCAGGAGTAAGGCCAGAAGATGATCGGCCGCTCCCATAAGGCTTAAAAGAGCAGCAACGAGCCATTGGGTTCTTTGTAGAAAAGCAACGTTGATTCCAGTGCTTCTTGTCAGCATCTTTTGAACTTTGTGGGGTTTTAGCAGGTTGCCAAAGACATCAAAGGTTGGTGATAAGGCCGTATAAGACTGGTTATGAAGAATTTGTTTTGGACTAATCTGAGAATGAATTAATTCTCAGCTGTTTTAATAAAATAAGTTTGTTCAGGACTGAATTGTGTTTGGTAATCACTACATGGGCCTCGGAGGCCAATAGGAGGCCTGGTAAACTGCAGGACAAGAAATCAGAGATGGGGTTCTCAGCTGGGAAAAGCTATCTTAGGACAAAGTATTGTCTTTCCTCTGTCATCCAGTGGTGGGTTCCTTCCGGTTCAGTCCGGTTCGGCCGAGCCGGTAGTGGTGACGATATGACATCACCGAACCGGTTCTCCCCCCCCCCCCCCCCCCCCCCCCCCCCACTCCCCCACGTTATTCTTACCTTTTATTTGGTCCCACCCCCAATCTATTGCTTCCTCCTGAGTCCCAGCTGATGACTAGAGGGAAAAAAACTGTTTAAACTCTTGCCGCGGGGCTTCAAAGGGCCGTCCTACAGCTGATCAGTGTTAAAAGGAAACAAATGAGTCGGATCGTAAGTGTGAGGACTGGTCGTAAGTGTGAGGACCTTCCAGAAATGACTCTGACCAGCTAGCCACACCCACCTAGTCACATGACCTCCAAGCCACTCCCACAAAATAAGCCACGCCCACAGAACCGGTAGTAAAAAAAATTAGAACCCACCCCTGCTGTCATCCCATGTGAAACATTCCTTATTCAATCCCACAAGTATTATCCCTCATCCCTCACACCCTATTCTGCTCTAATCCCAAGGAGCGGCAAGAAGAGCCAAACCTTTCCACAAAGATGCCAGCTTGAACAGCGTGCACAATGCTGCGAAACTTGGGTTTCTCTTCTGAACGGCGCCCCTTGGCCCGGGTCTGCTGGGTGAAAGTGGAGGCCAGCCAGTCTCGCACTTCAGAAGGTACAGCATCAGATTTGATCTCTTGGAGTTCATCTTCCGTGTCCAGAATCTTCCTGAAACAGGAATGGTGCCAGTGGGGAGAGGAAGGACAGATGATCAGCAATTCAAGGCAATGTCCATCACAATAGGAGACAAAAGGTGCAATTACATTGCCACCCCCACCCCGAAATAAATAAATAAATAAAGTGCCCACCAAACAAGACACTGGCACTTAGCCGGGTTTTCAACACTGATGGATCATCTTTTAAATATTAAAAAGAATTCTGAAAAATAAAATGATGAGATGTTTAAACCAAGTCTTCATAACATTGCCTATACTAGCCTATGAGTTAGATGACCTTAAAGGTAAAGGTTCCCCTCGCACATATGTGCTAATTGTTCCTGACTCTAGGGGGTGGTGCTCATCTCCGTTTCAAAGCTGAAGAGCCAGCGTTGTCTGAAGACGTCTCCGTGGTCATGTGGCCGGCATGACTAAACGCCAAAGGCGCACGGAAAGCTGTTACCTTCCCACCAAAGGTGGTCCCTATTTCTTCTACTTGCATTTTTTATGTGCTTTTGAACTGCTAGGTTGGCAGAAGCTGGGACAAGTAACGGGAGCTCACCCTGTTATTACGTGGCACTAGGGATTCGAATTGCTGAACAGGCCTGGTGGCTCAGCAGACTAATAGCATTGTGATTAACACCAGCTGTCTGCAATTACTGCAAGTTCAAATCTCACCAGGCTCAAGGTTGACTCAGGCTTCCATCCTTTCTAAGGTAGGTAAATTGAGGACCCAGTTTGTGGGGGCAATAAGCTGACTTTGTTTAAATATACAAAAGTATGAAGGCTATTGCTTAACGCATTGTAAGCCGCCCTGAGTCTCCGGAGAAGGGCGGCATATAAATCAAATTAAAAAAAAAAAAAAACTGCCGACCTTTCGATCGACAAGCTCAGCGTCTTAGCCACTGAGCCACCACATCCCCAATTAGATGACCTTAAGTCATACTTATTTGTTCATTTATTCATTCGTTCGTTTTCTATAGCTACCCATCTCAGTAAATGACTCTGGGTAGCTTACAATTCAGAACATGTCTTAAAATTAAAAATTTGAAAAACATTTTAAAACAATAAAAACAATAAAACCAGTAGGAAACATTAAACCATCCAATTCAAAATACACAAGATGTTTGGCCTGTTATCAATATAGACAGGAAATGGGGCCCTTGATGCATTCAACAACCCAGGCTCGGGAACATAGCCAGGTTTTTAAGGCCTTACAAAACGGCTAACAGGGTTGGGGGCATCCTAGTCTCTGAAGGGAGGATTTTAGCTGCACCAGTACTAAAGTGGTATGTTTCCCCTTATTCTGAAAATGCAAGAGCAGCTTCAAGGTGAGTAAAGCTGTAGATTTTCAAGCATTACTTTGGAGGGAAGTCAGATGACTGATAGAAACTAGAAACAATTAGAATAATGGCCCAATCGGGATCAATAATGGGGACAACAAATTTCACAGGTAGTATTGTTTTCTGACAACTTAAGAATGGATGGAGAGCAACTCAGCAATAAGGAAATGCCATTAGTGCTTCTCTGGATCTTGGATAGAGGTGAGGTTTCTTGCAATGTGCCCTAACTGAGGCTTCTCTTACTGTCTGGGAGAAAGTATTTTCTACAACTTCACTGAAGAATGAGTTTGTAATTTAGGTCAGTGATCCCCAACTTTTCTGGCACCAGGGACTGGGGACTGATTTCGTGGAAAACAATTTTTCCACGGATTGGGAGGCGGGCAGTTTCCCATGCAACCTAAATCCTATACATGCCCATTAAGCTTCACCTGCTCACCCGCCACTTGTGCGGATCGGTTCCTAACAGGCTGCGGACTGATACCGGCCCCCAGCCCGGAGGACTCCTGATTTACATAACAGTGTATACAGTACTTGACTCACTCTCTGGATTCAGTGCACTCAAGGCTGATGAATTCTTTATATGTCAGGCTGCCACTAGGGGGAACCACATCCCTTCTTAGTGAACTGAAACATGAACTGAAATTCACAGCAAGGTCCACTCAATAAGGCTGGTAAAACTCAGCAGATTTTCTGCCAACATCCAAACCATGACACCAACCACCATCTTCAAATTACTGCCAAAACGGTGCTGTTGCTCTAAGAACTTCCCATAATTCAGTTTATCCCAGCTTTCCTCATATTGGATGCTCTTCAGATGTATGGACCAACTTGCCGAATTTTCAGCAATTCTCAGGGATGTGAAGTCCCTAAGCGTGGACGGTGCTCGGTTTGGGAGATGGGCAGCTTATCCAGGGGCACTCATTTTGACTTTGGAGAAGGAGGGGGAATCGTATTGGACCAGACAGACACCCAACAAGGCTTCCCAACCCTTCCATCCTCACCTGGTCTCATCAATATAAACCGCTTCAAGCAAAGAAGCTGTATATTCCAAATTCTTCTTCAGCTCCACAAGATTCACCTCTCCTGTCTCCAGCTGTTTCACCATATACCGCAACCTGCAAATCGAGAGAGAAAAAAATGAAGAGGAAGGGAATAAGTAGACTAGGTAAAACTTCTTTCCTTGGCTCACCTCCTGCCATAGAGCATCTCTCATCGCAATCCCACCTCCTCAAGAAAGAGCCAACCAGCAAGAAATCATATTCCAGAGATTTGGCACTGCAGCGAGAGGATAATCTCAAGGAAAGTGGACAGGGCTGGTCACCTTTCTAGAACTTGCAACCTCTTCAACCATCAATTACATCAAAAATGACTTTAAAAAGAAGAAGAAAGAAATGCAATGTTCTCTTAGAAAACACTTTGCTTTCTTTTCACACCCAAAGGGAAGGGAGGGTTTCAAATGGAAAAACACTACATTTGGGGAAAGAGGTTAATATACCACTGGATGCAGAGTAACAGCATCCACCGTCAGACGATATGTTAAATACCATTAGAAGATGAAAATAAGGCAAAAGAAACCCAATGCCAACCACAAAACTTATTGGGTGATCATCAACCAGCCGCTCTCATCTCCCTTTCAACCTATCTTACTCGCAGGATAAGGGATTTAGAATACTATACTGAGCCCCTTCAACAAACATCAGGAAGAAAATATAACAAAATAAATAAGCATGTAAGGAATTCCCTTTTTGATCCTGAGCGCAGCAACATAGATAGAAAATAAATAAACCCAGGTGTCTTGCCTACAAACAAAACAATGCTATAGAGCACTGCACACCAGAACAACTAGACACAAGAAAAGTTTTTTCCCGAACGCTCTCCCTCTGCTAAATAAATAATTCCCTCAACACTGTCAAACTATTCACTAAATCTGCATTACTATTAATCTTCTCACTGTTCCGATCACCCATCTCCTCCCACTTATGACTGTATGACTGTAACTTGTTGCTGGTATCCTTACGATTTATATTGATTGTTTCCTAGTATGATTTGATTGATTATTTGTACCCTATGCCAGACTTAAGCATTGTATGTTATGATTCTTGATGAATGTATCTTTTCTTTTTATGTACACCGAGAGCATATGCACCAAAGACAAATTCCTTGTGTGTCCAATCACACTTGGCCAATAAAGAATTCTAATCTTCTAATATAATCTAATCTAACAAGCCTCCTTTTCTCCTCTCGAGTTGCCCTCAACCGAGAAGAATGTTGGGCCTTCTCCATCCACTGCTGAGAGTCTGAGATCAATCAACTGAAAATGGTAAAAAGGATGCTGACTCCTTCCCAGCCACTCACCCCCGCGAATGGATTTCATCCCACAAGCAGTGATGAAATCCGAATTTTTTTTACTACCGGTTCTGCGGGCGTGGCTTGGTGGGCGTGGTATGGTGTGGTGTGGCTTGGGGAGCATGGCAGGGGAAGGATACTACAAAATCCCCATTCCCTCTCCACTCCTGGGGGAAGGATACTGCAAAATCCCCATTCCCACCCCACTCCTGGAGGAAGGATATTGCAAAATCCCCATTCCCACCCCACTCTGGGGCCAGCCAGAGGTGGTATTTGCCGGTTCTCCAAACTACTCAAAATTTCCGCTACCGGTTCTCCAGAACCTGTTGGATTTCACTCCTGCCCACAAGGAATGTGACAGACCCACACAGGCATTGACAGACATTGTGGAAGATATGAACAACCCACACAGAAGATGGAACTGGCTGAGGATTATGAATTAAGATTTAGATGATATGGCTATCTATGGTATGACAAGGTTAAAGCAAATGTTGATTTTCATAGCCATTTTGTTAGGCGTGCCATCCTAAAAGTATGGAATAAATATAAAAACAAGGTTTTCTGTAAAAATGCCTCTGTGGGTGTCGCCCCAGGAAGCTTTTTTTTTTTTTTTTTTAGAAAAGAAATGCTGGTGAAATCAGACTTGTGGACTTATGATCAAATAATATCTTTTAACTTTGGTGATCCTATCCTTAAGTCCAAAGAGGAGTTAGAATCAGAAGCCTGCCATTGCCTGCCATTGGTTTACATATTTACAATTGAAAGAAAGATTTAAATCAGACAAAAAAGAGTTATGGGTTTGATTTTGTGAAAAACGGCTTGGAAATCCTACTGTGTGGTAGTGATGAACATATTATTGCTAGTCTATAAATTGTTGTTGAATTTGAATTTGGGACATGAATATGTAAAGCACTGCATGATTCAGTGGGCAAGGAACTTTGGATATAATCAGTGGTGGGATTCAAGTAATTTAACAACCGGTTCTCTGCCCTTATGATTTCTTCCAAAAACCAGTTTGCCAAACTGCTCAGAAAGTTAACAACTGTTTCTCCCGAAGTGATGAGAACTGGCTGAATCCCATCACTGGATATAATGTAATGCTTGAACAATGGGAGAATATGTGGACAAAACCAGTAGTGGGTTCCACTTACCTTCACTACCGGTTCAGAACTGTGAGAGCGCATGCCTGCTTGCTTGCTTCGCTCGTGCGCAGCGTTTCTGCACATGGGCAGAACCTTCTGCGCATGTGCAGAGCGTCCATGATGACGTCTGGCGCCTCCCACCGCCACCACTACCGGTTCACGCGAACTGGGGCAAACTGGTAGAAACCCACCACTGGACAAAACATTTAAAATTTACACTAAATTATAATTTAAAGAAAAATTTCCACAAGGTGATGTATCATTGATATTTAACACCAGATAAGTTGTCAAGAATGTATAAAGATATTTCAGATGAATGTTGGAAATGCAAAAGGAAAGAAGGAACCTTTTATCACTTATGGTGGACATGTGACAAAGCAAAGAAATATTGGAGTACAATTTACATCCTAATACAGAAGATTCAAAAATATAAAGATAAAATATAAAGATATGAATATAAAGATAGAACCAGAAACTTTTCTTTTGGGCTTAATGGAAAAAGACTTGGGGGAAAAAAATTGGAACTTTGATGCTATATTTGTTGATGGCAGCAAGATTACTTTATGCACAAAAATGGAAGGACACTTCGATCCTCACAATGGATGAATGGCTGCAAAAGTTGATGGAATTAGCAGAGATGGCTAAACTGATGGCTTAATTAATTCTTGATTAAAGAAAAAAAAATACAATTAGTTTTGTTTCTATTTGGAAACCACTTCTGGACTTTGTGCTCGAGGTGGAAAAAAATGAAACTTTGATTTTACCGATTAGATAGGTCTGTTGTTATAGAAATGGCTAGTTTATACCACTATGTAAAAGTAAAAAGTTGAGGTTTGATGTTACTATCTTATCCTATTGTACCAAAGGGAGTCGAAGTCAACGCTTATTCTTTCTTTTTCCCCTTTTTCCTACACTTTTCTCTCCCCTATCTTTCCTACTATTTTCTTTTGCATTTTTGTATTTTATGTTATTAATAATAAAAAAAAATATGGAGCAGGCTGGTCTTCTGCTGTACTATACAGCAAAGGTGAAAGCAAAGATTAGGAGTGATTTCAACTGAATGTTAAGACAGGAAGCAGAATTCAACTGGGGTGGGGGACTTTGGAAAGCCATTTGACAATGGAATCGACTTGGAGATGGTATGCTCTCTTTTCCCTGGAAGTCTTTAGATAGAGATTGGCTGATTGTATAACAGCAAAGCAGGAATTTTAAGTTCTGCATTAGTGCTGTGCAGTGCTTTGGTCTCAAAAGCTAAAAGGCACTTCAGAACATGTAAGTGCTTTTAGCTCTTGCCTACAACTCTTTGAAACTAAATACCGTATTTTTCGGAGTATAAGACGCACCTTAGTTTTTGGGGAGGAAAATAAGAAAAAATCTGATTGGCAGGTGGATCGGCCTCCCGGAATACCCCCAATCAGCTGTTCCCAGAGGTAAATTTTAGCAACAGGTTCCTTGGTTGTGAGCTCTGTGCCTTGCTTTTTTTTTTTTTTTTTGGTTGCTTTTTTTTTCTGTCTTTGAAACTTCTGAAACAGCTTCAGAAAAAAAGCCTCTGAAGCTCTGTCTGGGGGCTTCTTTTCTGAAACTCTCTTTGGGGGGCTTCTCTTCTGAAGCTTCTTTTCTGATGCTTTTTTCAGCCTCTGAAACCTCCTTTGAGAAGCTGGGCAGGGCTACATTCGGAGAATAAGACGCACCCAGATTTTCACCCTCTTTTTTGGAGAAAAAAGGTGCGTCTTATACTCCGAAAAATACGGTCCATCTTTCCCCCGGATCATCCTCTCACCTTTAAATCCCAAAGCACAGCCCTATTCTGCACTAATCTTCAGGGACTGGACAAGATAGCCTTTTGAGAATCTTCCAAAATTCTTCAGTTTGAGATGGATAGTTCTGTATATTTATATAAAGGAGGCCATTTATCTTATTCAACCAGTTCTAATAAGCCTGCAGCTTGCCTTGAAGATGGCTTCTACACAAGGAAGTCAGAAGGTCTGCAAAGGGCCAACCCAAGCTGTCAACAAGACCCCTTATAACAAATAGAACAGGATTAATCAGCAAGTGCTCTTTCACTCTTATGACACTTTTGGGGTGTCAACCCTGAAGCTGACCTGACTGTGGCCATTTTGAGGCTTCAGTGTTGCCGCACTGGAGCTGAGGGATAGGGAGGGTGGGAATCGAGATAGCTGGGGTTTTGTAGCCAAAACAAAATACTTTCTCCTGGGGACCAAGGACATTCCCACAGGTAGTCAGAGAGAGGAAGGGTGAAGTTACCAAACAACCAGACAACTCCTCGATTGGACCATGTGACTGATTGTTTGGGGAAGGGGAAAAACTTTCAATTAGGTGAAAACCATGGGAACATTCAGAGTCGGTTTTCTGTGCCAATGTGATATATCCAACCAGCCTGTGCCAATATGATGTATCCAATAAAACTATTCTCTGAGGAATCTATCTGCCTCGGAGTTCTATTTGCTAGGGATGTATTACTTGGAAACCTGACATGGGATCTGCTTTACTCGCACGTTTAGAGAAACTCTCATTCCCCCTTTCTTCTAGTTAACGTATTTCTTCCAGTTTTCAACTTTTCAAACCACAGAAGTTCTTTCAGAAGGGAACAACAAAAGTGGATTTGA